ACTGGGTTACTTATTTTTATTGACAGTAAATCACGAATGCCTTATAGAGTGATTCCTCTTAAAATGTTCGCTAATAAACCACCTAAATTCTCATAAAAAAGTCCAAATTAATTCATGAAACCGCTATTACTTAAAACCTCCAACCGATTCCCTGCGGATTAATTTATACAATAACACAATATCCACCCTGTACATAAAGAAGTACTTATCAAGAATCGTTCACGCTGGTTCTGGTTGGTTATAAAACGACGAAACATATGAATAGATCATAATATATCATACACAAAGAGGCAGAGTGTGCTGACGATCCATATGAAGGACAATATTGTCTACCGAGATGAAAGATTTTCGTGTGGCTTTTACATTCGGAGATTAAGAAACAAAGCGACTAATACATAAAATTTGAATACTTACCGGATCGGAGGCTAAGCATATTAGTTTAACGATTCGTATGTCATCGAAATATCGTTAGAAGAAGCTACACTCGTTTGCTCAACACGAGTTTGCACTAGAATCCTATCGGATTTTCGTTAACCTTGATAACTTTTAATTGATGCTAACAGCAATTATGGTAATGGACGAAGTGAGTACGCTAATTTATCGATTCTATTACACGATTAGTGTAATAGAGTTAATTCGAACTAGTCGTAGGTTTATAAAGCCCAGCTTTCTTCGTTTTCGTCACCATCGACAAATGTATTTTCTATTGCATCGATCAGAGTAACGTGTTTCACGAGGCGAGCGTTAATCGAGCATTAAAGGAGACGTGTCTCACATCTAAATTCGCGGAAAATAGTCCCCATTGTCGCATTTACATTTTCTCAGGCCGTCGTGTAAATATGGCAGGCGCCGATGGTATTGATTGCGTGAAAAGTACTCGCGTTTTAGTGGTGACACTAACTCGGGGGATGAGTAATCCTCAATAAAGTAAATAAAAAGTTCCCAGAAAGAATTATTAAGCCAATAACGTTCTTATTCAAAAAAGAGTGAGATATATCATTGAATTTTAAAATGTATTAAATAATGAATTCGCTACATTACATTATAACGGATGGGGCTAAACAAAACAAAATGAACGCTCCGTTAGCTTCTAACAGAGTTCATGGACTTGGGCAATTTGAAGCAAATAAACCGCATTCAGAATTAGGTAAAGCACCAACGACGTGTGAATTTAAATGAGACCCGACCCGTTCGGTTTATTTCCTCGCGAGAGTTTCCCGTAAAAAGACCGTGCGTAATCGTCGAACAGCTGATTGTAATTTAATAGATTTCGAAATTACTCTATTAGCTCAATTCGCTGGAGCCCGCAAATGAGCGTTCGCAACGGAAGTTTAATAAGTGTCAATCAGAGTCAACGACGCCTCGTTCTTTATCAAACGGCAGTGGCTAATCAACCGCACGAGTTTTCAGTGCTTTTCGAAAAAAAATCTAATGCTTGTGTGGTTATATAAAAATTAATTAATGTAGAAGCATTATAATATTTTTAATGTGATAAAGAAACGGTACATTTCGCATTGTTTTAAAGGAATTAATAGGTTGAGTAGCCATTTATTCGGCTAATATTTCACCAACGGATTAATTGCAATACTAAAAGCATCATTAATGGCATCCATTCAACTCGCTGTGGAAATAAAACATTACGATGCACATCAGTCCTTGAACTTAAGGGAATCGACGATGTCCTCATTAATTATTTCTTTAATGAGGTAATAAATAGATAAAAACGCCGTTTAATAGGCGTAATTGTTATAGTAATTGTCACGCGAATAATTCCGTTTTTTATAACGAATATCTAGTAAACAATTAGTTATTATAAAGCATCAGCGAATGGTACCGAACTAATAATAGGTTAGTCGTGGCGTAATGTCGGGAATTCGGGCGATCGGAATAGAAAAAAGAAACGTGCGTTGGCACATGCTGTGGAGCCGAGGAGTGCATCTCTGAATACGAATATGAGTTCAGTCCCCGCGATTTTTAGCAAGTGGCGCCCAAACAAACCTTTAACAGTTATTTCCGCTCGACGTTACATTGTCGTGCCGAAAATAATCGTTTCAAATTCCAAACGAAACCCGAACAATAAAATTTTTATTTATTTTTAAAAATGTTGAGCGAATTTGCTTGTATAGTAGGTCGCCTTATCTTCTCCTTTAGCAATATTTATTCGTCTATTAGAGTTACTATTATCTATTCTATACTTGAGCCTGGATTTGTTTTAATGTAAAGTATCTTCTGGAGGAAACGCGTCAGTGAGAAGGATGTCCGGGTAAATGCAGAAACTTATTATACGTTTTTCCGATGAATCGATTCAACTAAACGATCCCAAAATATACATACAGACGCATTTGAATAGAGGGAAAATGAACGGAACACATGCATGCACCACTGCCTGATTCAGTGATTCATTGTCGAATTTTTCTCGTCATCGTTAGTCATCGGTTTTTCGGTATATTATAATTATGTTTCGTTTAAATTTCGGATGCCATTGGCTATTTTCGGAGCTGGAAACCGAGATGTATTCGGCATCGGCAGGTCAAGATTTCGATTGGATCGGATTCATGGGAACCGCTTCGCTTCCATCCGGGATTTATTTATTTATTTCGAGATGCGCTTGTCGAATCGATTTTTATACACGTATTATAATTACAGTAATACCGAGAAATGACTGCAATCAATACACAACTCTTTAAACAATAATTACCTACTTTTATTAAATTTCTCACTGAAATAATTTATGGGTTATGAATGTTTAATAAGTAATAGAAACATAGTCGACATGCAAATAACCTTCGCGGAGAATTCACTTAATAACGCATAAACTTGCCAACGACTATTTCCTGCATAGATTAACTCGATTTTTATACGTTGAACAATATTAATATCTTATAATTTTCACCTGACAGCTCTTTGGAAATTCCCTTTAACAACACATGAACTACGGATCACGTTCAAGGTTTTAAAAATATCGACATTACGCATGTTTAATTAGTGTAGAAATCGCTAATTAACCATGTTTTAATTGGATTTGAAGCTTCTAATTCGCACGAAGCGCCTTTAATAGGCTCTCATCGAATCTATCGATTATAATTCGGTAAGTGAAGAAATTCACCGATTAAAGATACAGGCAATTGCATAAGAGGCGAATACAAAAGAAAAACCTAACCTTAGGGCATCGAACCACGGTCATACGTTTCTTTGTCACAGGGGCACAACTTGTTTTAAAAATAAATAGCTCTTCTTTGCGGAGTGCTTCAAGGTAAACCGACCGACTTGTCCACATGTTCGGTCGAAGACAGAAAAAGTGCGATATTTATTACCGCTAATTGTTCGACCGAAAGTAGAAATGCTCGATATGGCGGTAACAATATTGGTACATAGTGTAAAAGCGAGCGAGAATGGGCCATTTGAATATAATGTTATTGGCTTTGTGTACTTGCATATACTACACACAAGCGGCGTTTCTTCAAGCTATACTTTTGCCATTCACCATTAGAGCATCCAAATCAATAATCACATTGGATGGAATACAAAAATTGCCCGGCATATAAGGTACATAAAAGTTAAAATTCATGCATGCCCGATCGACGGGTTCAGACATCTCGACATCACGTCAAAACTCGTGTACGGTCCTCTGTTTGAGCGGCTTATCGAATATGTTAAATAGGTTATTCATCTTGTTTTACAATACTTCCATTTAAATATTTCAATAAGGCGACGTGAAAAGTTGCTCCTGTCGGTTATCTGGACGAGGGATACGTCCAATATGTTTGTCTATATGGACCATTAAGGGTTTGAAATGCATCATGTTTTTTATAAACGATTTTTAACAGTTCTAAATGCTTCTAAGATGATCCGGAACAGTTTCAAATGGTCCTAGTCAGTTCTAACTAAATCCGGATAGTTTAATGATCATCCTGAACTGTTTCAAACAGTTCTAGCCAGTTCTACATTGTTTCTAAATGATCTTGAACGGTTCTAAATAATTCTAGAACTATTCTGAACAATTTAGAAGTACACGTTCTAATTTCATCTCTTTTCTCTTTCATCTCTAGTTATTTTTTTGAGTCGTTTTCGTAAAAATCCATTCTCTAGTTAACTTTCCATCATAATGCAATCAAAAGTTCCTCAACAACTCGTCTAGTTGTATTATAACTCGTGCATCTTGCTGTCACAGTCGATTCAATTTACATAATTTCGTTTGCTGTGCAGTTTTACATAACTTTACATAATTTTAATTCCCCTGTTCGTAGGCGCGGAATCATTTGTATAAGTGGACACTTTGTAGCGGAAGATGAGATAGATCTTATCTAATGCGGTTAAATTTGGGAAAGATCATTTTTTAACGCGTCCCGGCCGCAGAGTTTTTTTTGGAGATTATAAACCGGATTTCGATATTTTCACCGAAATTTGATGAAATTTAAATTTGCGGTCAATTGTTTGAGAAAATGGAACTGTTGACGTCAGTTATTACAACAAATAAAAAATAGATTTGGTTTTAAATTGGGTATATCTCTCAGTTTTCTAGGTTGTTGAGATAAATTTTTGTATCTAAACACACAATGATTTTAGCAGGTAAAAGATACTAACGGACTAAATAAATATAACAAACTAATCAGTTTCGCAGCAAAATTTCAATTTACCTTTTTCATTTGGTTAGGTTTGCATTATCATTAAACAAACGGATAAAAGTTAAAAAGAAGTGTATTCAGTAACCATATGGTAAATAAATAAATTTTACCTGCTGAAAAAAATCTAATCAGCACGTTTGCAATTCAACAGTATTTCCCGGAAAATATTAATTAATAATTCTACACATCATTTTTTTTTTAATTCACCCTTAATTCCTGCTGAAACAGGACGCTCATACGCTCAAGCAAGCTTAACCACCCTGTATAAAAAAATCCAACCAACACAGCGACATCTATCGCCCGATCGACCTACCGAAAACTCCCATCGGCACAGCAGGAAATTCGATTTACAGCCGCCTCGTTTCTCTGTTGCAGGAAGTGTATCTGATGAACTACGGCTACATGGAGAAATCGAAAGATGGCGCGTTCGCCCTGCGAACGGAGGAGTCCGTGCAAAATTCCCTGCGGGATTTACAGGAATTCGCCGGGCTGCCGGTCACGGGCCGGCTCGACAACAGGACCTTGCAGTTGCTGGGCAGGCCGAGGTGCGGCATGCCCGACAGGACTTACAAGTCCAGGAGGCGCCGGTTCACCATACACGGCTCCAAGTGGCCCTACACCGATCTCACCTGGAGGTAAGCCCAATTTTTTTACCGGTTGCAATGGGAAAAGTGATAGAATGTACTCGACAATAGCGAATTTCGAGGTAGATTTCGACTCGAGCGATCGATTCGATTGCTCCGAGATATGGATAATTAAATTTTTCCCGTCGAAAAGAACGAATTAAACGAAAGGTAACGGTATTATAAAAGGCCTCGCAGATACCTATTCGAAAAAGAAACGATAAAAGCGAATCGGGATTCTCTCTGTAATGCCTAAGTCATCGTAATTCGATGTAAGTAGGTATCGATTTAATGTAATTATACCTGTAAGATAATCAGTTAATATAATTATCGGGGCGATTTACAGAGTTTTATTTCGAAAATTTCGAAAAAAAAAAAGCTCGCTGCAATCTTCGACATCGGATATCAATTAGTTAAGACGAGCGAATTGGGCCAATTAAAGAGCCAATTAATAAGAAAAATAACACAACAGAAAATCACCTGAGCTCGTTATATTCATGCCGCTCCAACTCGCAAACTAACAATTTCGACGTCCGGTAAAATTCGATCACGAAAAAATAGATTTACAAATAAAACATTGGACAAATGGCCTGCCTTTCGGAAACCATATGGCATATTATCAATCGCGAAATGTAAAATGCAATTATAGGCTTTTTACATTCGTTCACTTCACCATTTTCGGCTTTATTGAATTTCCCTCGGCAATCCGTAGAGTGATTTAATTTAGTTATTCGGAAATAGTGGAATACACTAACTATCCGGCTCGCTTCGTATATTTGTTGATGGACGTCGAAACGGGAATATGTTTTATTTTGATTCGAAAGTTGCCAAACAAAAACATTTCATTTATCACATTTAATTTAACGTATCAGAAATTGCCAGTGATTGATTTTAAAGGGATTTTTTACCAGGTAAATGACGTCTGAGTATGTTGAGTTGCCTAAATTCAGGAGATAGTAACAATTTATTAAGCATCCTATTAGCTTCAATAATTAATTTCCCGTTTAATTATAATAAATATCAATTTTAACATACATATTGTAGATGGACTTGTTGAGTACTAACAATTTATTAAGCAATCCAATCAACTTAAATAATGAATTTCCCGTAAAAACTATCCGATGTGGCGCGCTTCTCTAAATAATAGGAAAATCACATTATCGATTATTAAAAGGAATGGATGTCGCATAATGCAAAGGGGGGTGTTGCTAAAATGTTTCGCATACTTGGCGAAACCGTAATTGATGAAATAATCTAATAACATTCTGTGTGACGATGATGAAAAGGCGACGGTAAATGCAAGGTATATATGAAGAAAAGCCGATGTTGAGTGGTTGCGGTCTTAGACATAGAGTGCTCGGCACTTAAAGGCTTTTTGAGGAAATTGCTGCACCTATATTAGAATTAAAAAAAATATCGGACAATTAACTACAATTCAAAAAGCACGCTGTGTATTCCAGGCGAAACAAACATCGTTATTTCGAAGTCAATAACGAATATATTCCATCAAAAGATCGGAAATAAGTATAGTGATTTAAGGTCCTTCACCGTCGTAGATTTCTCGCCTTTTCGTCGCGAACGCGAGATATTCCGAAATCAAATTATAATCTCACGCTTTGAAAATTCTAATGGAATCAATTAGGAAATGAGTTTTTTTTTCTTCTCTCTTAAATTACGCCTCCGGTGGAGAGGGCGGATCGACTGCCGAGCGAATGAAGATTAAAACAAAGGAAATATTATATGCACCACTATAATTGATCGGATTTTTCGGGTGACTTACGCCGAGCCATTTCTTCCGCGTCTGCGATTCCCTTCGACTCGATTTTTGTTCGATTACGATAGACGGCCATTTGCTCGATTTACACGGCTTCATTTTCATTTATAAAATGGTCTCAAATTCACTTATTACATGATCAAATAGTTGCTCACTAAAGCACTTCCATAATATTTTCTCAGTATACTATTGGTAATATTGAATCTTGCTTATTCTGCGATAGTTCTTCAACTTTAAATTGAAATGTAAATGTTTCGGCATCTCTTCTTCAGCGAGTTTATTCTGTTCATTCTCAAATAGTTTATTCCCTTTTTCTTCAGCTATTTCATTTCTTTCCTCTTCAGCTAGTTTATTAGTTTCTTCTTTAGCCAATTTATTCCTTCCATCTTCAGCTTCAGTTAATTCATTCATCACAATTCACCTAGTCTTTTCTAGTCTTCAGCTAATTTATTCCCTTCCTCAACTCTTTGTTTCTTTTGGTCATTAAAATGGGATAATCAGTGATAGCTGAATAACTGTACTCCTGTACAAGTTGCAGGAGTTTTCCGTATCCGCAGGTGAATCTGCTTAAGTTGCCGGTGAACTATTAGCGCGGCTCGGTGGCAGTTAGTGCAGTAGAATTTCTAATTGAAATTAGGCGAGAAATAAAATTCAGATTGGACGTTAAATTCATTAAATGAAGCGCCGCTTCCGTGATGGCGGAGTTTAATATCTCGTAATGATTCGGTAGAAGGTGGAGCGGTTCGGCGGGAGGGAGGAGGCGATAACGTGCATTAACCGTGTTAACCGCTCGGAAATTACTCAATTTTCGCTTAATTTATATTTTATAAACTGCCCTTTTTTTCGTGAAATCAGCTCACGTTAAGTTGTGTAGTTTGTCGTGGGCGTGATTCTGTATAGATTAGAGCGCGATAATTTTATTTCGTTGTTGGGAGTTTTTTTCTCGTCGATAATTCCTCAATTCTGAACTGATTTTCGATTTCCTTAGTCGTCCCGCCGCCAAATTGGAGTATTTTTATTTCCGGATTCTCCCGAAGCTTCCTCTCGGAGATTTCGCTTCTGGTTTACAACCCGCCGAATAATTCAATAACAAAAACACCAATCGCTTAAATTTTCGCAGCTAATCAACCGATTTATTAAGATTCGACGAGTCGAATTAGTTCGCGAAGCTAGAGATAACACGTCCAGTTAATACAACGTGCTCGACGTCCAGTTCGGCGTATAATTAGAATCCGCCGGAGAACCAAATCGAGAGGATTCAGTTTATCAATCTGCTTTAATTACAAATTCGATTTCCAATCTACATATTGTTTAACGGCGTTATGAAAATTGCTATCGAATGTCTCCTGGCCGGCCAGTTTGCTATCTATCACTTGCCAAACTAGCGCTTTAATCAGCGTCCAATGTCCATCCATCTACTCACACACCCCATAGGCGTAGATACACCTCATTAAACATTACAAATTATTATTATTTTTAAACTCCGGAACTTATTCCTGCAGGAATAATTGATCTTCGAATGAAAGATGCAACGGGGAAAAGGGGATTCGCGCGGAGCACAAAGCTCTGATTAGAGGTGCAGGTGCAGGTCCTTTCCGAAGGACCCTCGTCGAATGAATTGAATAGGGCGCACTGTATGTGACGTCACGAGCCTGCGAAGCACTTTCTCGGTGCTTCACTCGAGTGACCTCTATACGCCGTTGTCGCTTCGGTCCCGTCAGAATTGTCACTCCCTTCAAATGGGAAATACAACGGACTTGTATAGGGCGTCCCGAAAAATAAATCCCCTAACTCTTCGGAGGAACTTGGCAGAGGAGAATTTGACGTTGGAGTGCTCTTAGGACTTGGGACGCCCTGTATATTTGATCCTGCTCTTTTCTTTACGTGTTCGAGTAGAGTTTGTTAGGTTTGTTCCAGTAGTTTTGAATATTTTCTACACCGAACTTGTTTAGAACAGAACATGTGTGTTTTTCTACTCCAATTTTGATTGCGCAAGAGGATTAAGTTCAAAACAAGCCACAAGAACAAACCCATTTGCTCCTTATTGAAAGATTCTTGCAAATGAATCCAGTATTGGAGCTGTTTAATTTGTTCCATTTGATTATTTACTGGTTATGACATAATTGTTCCAACGCTCGTAGAGGAACAAACCGAGAGCAAATCGGTAATTAAGCGGCTATTATGCGATAGTATTCGGGCGAATTTCGATTAGCCGATGCGAAGATAGACGAACCGGCTTCGATGACCATTAAAAAACGTTTCGAAAACACCATAGTTCGCTGCATTATGGCTCCGGTGGTAATTCTATATGTTACCGATGAGGCCTGGCGGTGACGCGGAATCAAGCTGATGATTGCTTATTGAAAATATTCCGATTCGGATTTAATTGTTCGGCTAAATTAAATACGGCTCGAGTGCCCGACCGTGTCACACACACATATTTTCCAGCTATAATCCGGCTCGTTTTCGATTGGGCGAAACGGAAAAAATAACCGAGTATCCGCGGTGTAGGGTTTTGTTCGAAAATTCGAGAAGAAAATGCTCGTTTTAAATATGGAAAAGCGTCCGCTGTCGACGCGATACACCCGCCCGATTCCCCGGGGACTTTTTTGGCATTTATGCCTCGAATCTGGTTACCGAAAAACGTCGCGGCATTTCTCAAATGTCAATTACCTCACTTTTAAGGTTACTGTTCTCCGTTACATATTTTATCGGTATTTCCGATTCGTACACCCTTTTTATCGATTTCGCAAGTATCTGACGGCCACATCGTGTTTATTTTACAGATGGCTTCAATCAATAATACTCAATATGTTCTCCTTATGTACTCCTTTTTACCTACCTTTTTTACCATCCTTTTGACCCATCAATCAGAGCTCCTGCAACTGTAGATGATTGCAATAAAAAACTCTGTTTCATGACAATGAATGTATCAAAAATACACCCTCATAAACGCGCATTACATCCCCAAACTATCATAATTAATACCATCGACTTGAATTGGTATTAAATAAATCTCCAATCGCTCGAAATTGAAGCACATTGGATTTTTTTATCGCTGTTATTTTTTCGTGTAACCGCCTTATTATGTTGTACGTATTGGATATTAAAGTGGGTGCTTCCTCGTGACGCCATCAGCGTTTAGTGAACTAATATTAAAAGACCCTTGGGAGTTGTTTCCCTCGCCGCGGTAGATATAGGGGCGTAAAGTCTATTAAATATCATATTCCATTTCCCTAGCAATTTGACACAATTCCGTCGAATAAAACGGGAGGAGAGAAATCCGAAATCGGCGACGAGGAATTTTCGGATCCTTGGATAGCGCTGAAATGTTTTATTCATAGCCGAAATTGGATTAAACAAATTAAAAGGAAAACCGTTACGTAAATAAGATAGGATAATTCCAATTGGCTGGCAATTACACACGAATTTTTCCCATGGAAAAAAAAAACTTTTAAAGTTGTCAATCGATAGTTAGAAGTACTCCGCCCACTCCAGAAACCTATCTAATTACGCGGAGCTTCCCTTATATTAGTTACAACTAAACAAATTATTATTTTATCAATATGTGTGCTTCCTTTGGTGCGATATTCGATTTTAGGCCAGTTAATAATTTCATTTTCTTCTCAACTTAATTATCTAACTGAATTTTGCAATCGAAAAACGGGAAACTTCAAAATTTGATTTAGGAATTCTATATTTTCATGTAGAGTACCCTAAAACAAACTACTAGATCTACTAATTCAGTCACATATGTTGAAGAAAATCACGTTAAAATTCCTTCAGAAGAAAATTAACCGTGCTGTACAGGGCCCTTGGGGTTCGTCCTTGGGTTAATATTCAATCCCGAGCAATTTTTCTCCGTATTAATTTTCCGTGCGATGGTAACTGGCCTAATCTAACGGAGCGAAATGCATGCGCAAGGCGATAACCAAAGTTTATAAAACGTGAGCGGAACAAGCCGGCTTTCAGTTCAGAGACTTCGTGCGGAGCGGCAGAGAAAGCTCCGAAAGCTGCGACCGCGAAAGCTCCAATCAAAGTTTGCGACATTCGTTAGCGTTTTCATTGAAACCAATGGATTCGGTGAGTTTTCTTCTTTTTTTTAATACTATTCCTTAAGAATTTTATTTGTTATTAAATTATTCATCGAAGTTGATATATTATGATTAAGACTTATCGGTAGGTATTTAATGTGGTATTATTAGTAAAATGAGTCTATAAAATTAATATTTGATGAAGTAGAAATACAATCGAACAATTTAACGATACAATTTAAGGTTTTCGTGAATAATTTATTTTCTCTACTGTTTATTTTTTTCGCAATTAATTATACATTTTTATTAATAAAAAAATATCGAATCCAATTCTACCTATCAGAGTCGCTTTTAATGGAACATTAACTCGAACAATATGTCAAATAATTACAATCAATAAAGTCGGTAAGGTATTAAAACTATACGAAATAAAATCCATTAATAGGGGCATCTAATGCATCTCCGGGGCTCCGATTTGACGATTTTTACGGCGCGTTTCCCATGAAACGGCTGTACCCAATAAACCGGACAAATGAGGCTAATAAAATCGAGGGTTAACTAATATGACATGCTGTCTTTAAACAGGCTTTATGTGCGTGGTGTTCGTTTAAGAACAATGTTTGCGCATTAAACGAGAAGAATAAATTTCATTTAGTTCGTTTACGGGCCCGAGAGCCAGCGACGCTCAAACTATTTCACTGGCCAATAAAGATATTATTGGAGAGAATTTATACGATAACATAAACAACTTTACTTATACACCGAATAAAATATAACCGGGGAATAAATTTGTTAAACGTACTGTAACATAGGTAATGCGAACGTTAACCGCAGGCGCATTCGCTCGAATATGAACTATTCCTGCCCGGAAATGATGTAGGTTATTCCCTGATTATGACTATTTGGCTAGTAAACTATTTAACTGCGGTTATGGCACTTCGAGTTATGACTTCGCCCCGTGCCATTAGAGGATAAATTCGAATGCAGTTCCTATTATTTTCTACAGGTGCAATTCGAATAGCGGTTGCATCGAATTCGGAACTAACGGGCGACTCGAAACTCCACTATTAACTACCAGTAACCGGATTGTAATTAAACCAGCGTAATGATGCTAATTGTGCATTTTTAGTCCACAGACTAGATAATAATTAGTCAATTAAATTCAATTTATCAGTCCACCCCAGACGTTCGTGCGAGTCAATAGAAAAGAATGACCCTCATCATGTTTTTTAAGCCACAAACTGCTGGTAATTCCCAACAATCGGCTAAGCACTCGCGAGGGATATATGAATAACTAATACCGGCTTCGATGAATAAAATAGTGGAAAAAAATAACGAAGGCGACGAACGAAATGCCGATAACTCGTTTCTTGTATAACCGAACGAAGTAATCGACAAACAAACGGCGTTGTGAATTTTAATTTTCGATTGGATTCCAGCGCGATCGTCTTCGGTAAGATTTCGTGCGCAAGCCAAGTGAATCATTGATGTCAATAAGAGTTAATAAGATTGTTAAGCCAATTAGCTGCACAGGCTTAAATTTGCATGTGCTCTAGTTATAGATTTTCCTTTGAATTATAAATCTGTTTGCGAATACACTGTGTTCCAGGCTGGTTTGTTTCTAGTCTAGTTAGTTGCACATTTGGATAAGATGTGAAGTAGGAAAAGCGTACGAAAGAAACCTAAATGGTTCTAAATTCGTAATTTTATGTTTGATCTCAACCTAAGAGAATTTGACAAAAATTTAGATATACTATTAGGCTTTAATTGGCAATGACTAGGTCCAAGTCTGATCCTATTCTATCCCTTCTAGAACTCGCCCCATTTGGAAAAGTTGGTTCTTAACTTGGATCAAGAATTGCCTAGGATTTAATACTGCATCATATTTGTGCAAATTAGAATATTTATAACGCTCTCCTTGATCAACAGTACTCGTAAAGCTTCAATATTATTCTTCCTCTTTGCGCATCAGTTACGAAACTTCGGCGTTGTAAATGGCCGGGTACTTAATCACCGTCGGCTGGTAATATTGTAGATACATTTATTGACCGAGCCGAACGTCAATCCGTATTAGATACAGTAAATTTTCCGGTAAAGCAATAAAGTCGGTTGGTTGTGTGGCGGGCGCCGTCAATCCCTACAAATCGACGTCACACTTAACTTTAAAGCATCGCCTTCATATCAGGAATTTTCTCTCTTCCCTTGACGGCGAGTCGCTGTGGCAGTTCCGGGACGAGTTTCCCAATCGAACTCGAGTTTCGGATAAAAATAGGAGAAAGATTCGGGAGCGAAACGGAGAAAACGAGGCTTATCACTTTGTACCGACGGGTTTATTTTAGTCGACTGGGAAGTTTTAATTGCGTTATATTTTTTGATGAATGTATAGTGTCCTTTTTGGTTACTCACTCAACCTGGGTGTGATGTGTTTTCATTCCATCACAACCTCCTTGAGTGAGCGATTAAGGGGGTTGATAGACATCTTTGCATAGTCTTTGTATGGGTGATTAAAAAAAGTATGGTTTGTTTTCAATAATTGTAGAGTATTTTTACGTTTGTTTCAGCGTGAGAACGAAATCAGTGAACAATTTAAATCACTACGATGTCCGATATGTCATCTCGAAGGCTTTGGAGGTATGGTCGAAGCATTCCAAGTTAACGTTCACCGAAGTGGACAGCGACAAGGCCGACATACTCATCTATTTCCACAGGTACTTACGCCTCTTAGGGCGGGATTTCCAGCCGGGAAAGTCCACCTGAAATTTTCGATACGTTTTCAGGGGCGCGCACGGCGACAGTTTTCCGTTCGACGGGCCGGGAAAGGTTCTCGCTCACGCTTTCTTCCCCACGGGAGTCAAATCGAGCGTCGAGGTGCACTTCGACGCCGACGAGAAATGGACGACTTCGGTGGAAAATGAGGACGGTAAGGAACAAGGATTTACACCGATAAAAGCATTTTCTATCCACTGGATATAGTCTCTCATTTTTGTCCAGTTAATTTCTTTATTTCATCGCACTATCTCTGATAGAGTCTACAGACACTTCTTCGTAATGTTTACCATCTAATGATAATACTATCTTCAGCTTTCTGTGATAGGGTCTACTGACAATTCTTTGTTCTTCCCAAGATCTTCATCTGGTGATATGGCCGCTTTAGCTTTCTTTGAGCCTGGCAAAATGTCCTGCCCATTTCCATTTAAGCGAGCTGATTTGTATATGATGTCTGTTACTTGCACTATATTTCTTATCCAGTGATTTGTTTTATGATCTTTTAGCGATATTCCTCTTTCTACCGCTCTCTGATGCACTCTTAGTTTGTTATTGATTTCATTGGCTACTACTTCTATTTTTTTTAAATTAATTCAATGCGGTATTTTACTCTTTTCAAATCATTATCTAGATATAAAATATTCATCCGTAAGTTAAAATGAGCCAATTAAACTTTGGCAAAGTACCCGTACAATCGGGCAAGTAACTGAATCATCGCGATATACATTTTAATTAAAACGTTGTATCTCGCGATGATTCCGCGGTCCTCGAGAACATGCTAGATTTCATTTCAATTCACTTCAATTCCCTTGCACCCTCAAAAAGGGTTATTATCTCGATCCCCGCGCCACTTCAGGCACGTACGCTAACAATTCGAAAGAGAATCTTCTTCGACAATACGAATTGTTTTAAGATAGAGACCATCGCGATTCGCGGTTTTTACTTGCACGGCGGAAACGCGGGACATTCGAGTAATTCGAGATAAATTAATTTTCCGAAATAGATTTTTTTTATCCATCTAGAAGCTACATTTCAGCGGCAATCGCTCGGCATAAAACAGATTTTCGCGTTATCATTCAACCCACTTGACTTGTGATCTCGTTTTCCGCTCGTTTCCGATTATATCACGTTATACGGGGGTGTACGGCGTGTAAACAAAGTTCATCTAAATTTGTATTTTTTTATCTCCCGCATTAGCTTCCGTCTCCTCGAATCCGTTTGTTCCATCGAATGAAAATTTCGCTCTTCACAAATAAAAATCGTATTTATCGTAGAATGTAAGGCGGTACAGATAGGTTCATTAATAAAAGACGTCATACAGCAAAATTACCAATCGGCGCAATTTTCTATTTTTAGGGGGACACAAAATCATACCAAGTATAAAATTTTAGTTTTTCTGGCGTCGTTTGTCTCGTAGAAAATAATATTCTAGTGCGATTGTTCAAATGGCAGTTAATGATGGAATTATTTATATAATTCTGTTAACATGTAAGTCCAGGAACTTTTATTAATAAAAGTCACGGAATTTTCTAATTAATCATGAAATATTTATAAGAATCGTTTAATTGAATCGACCTTTTGGTGGTTTACCAACTTTTTTCATAAATTTTACTCTCTCTCAAGGGCAGCTTACGAGCTAAAAATATCTTTACTTATGAAACGTACCTCGTTCGAAATCGATTATCGCATAATATTGAGCGTATGGAAGAAACCTAATAAAATTAGTTCGAAAGTACCTTTAATATTAAAAAACTATTATTAAATAGAAGCAAAGTGTACGAAGATGTGTAAAAATTAGCATTCGCTAAAGTAAATCTTAAATTGCGTTAATAAACATAATTATATTTAATTGCGATTGTCGAAAAGCAATAGACGGAATGGCACAATTATTATTTCTTTGACTGAAATCGAGAAAGATTTCTCCGTTATTTAATTTGCGCTAGTTTCCAGCAGTCTCGATTGTTTTCATTATTCTTACACCAACTCCGGAACTTGAGTTGTCAATTATATTTCTCTAACTCCATTAAAGTTGCAAGAGATTGAAGTGGAGGAATAATAAAGCGTCCAACTTCGACCATTCCGGAATTCTGTACGAGAGAGTTCGCTTTGTACTTCATCGTTGGTACTCACCTATTGATTCTAACCCAATGAAGAGATTTATTGGATGTAATCGTTTTTTAAATATTTCCAGGGACAAATCTCTTTAATGTAGCCGCCCACGAAATCGGGCATTCGCTGGGACTTTCGCATTCCAACGTCGAAGATGCCCTAATGTATCCTTGGTACAAAGAAATCGAAGACGGTTTCAATTACGAATTGCCCGAAGACGACAAGCAAGCCATACAAGTCTTGTATGGTAAGTACCTTCCCAAGAACCACCCGTTAAAATAAGTACAATGCATTAATCACAGGTTCACCGGATTACCGCAGCAAATGGGCGAAAAACCCCCGGTTCCATCACACCACCACAACCACAACCACCACCACCACCACCACAGCGAGACCGAGAGCGGTCACGCACCGCCCGAAGCGCCCCCACGAACCGCGCTTCCCCTTCAACCACCCCTCGCCCAAACCCATGAACCCCAACAAAAAACACACCACGACCGTCTTCAACCACCAGCCCGACTGGAGGAAACACAAACACCCCGGTAAATGCGCAACAATCCTCGAAAACCAAGCGAGCTCACGCGAGTCCTTTCAGATCGGCGGTACCCCACTCGGACGCCTTACAGGCCGCCGGAGACGTACCCGCCGAGGTTCCCCCTTCGAACGCCGCCGCCCAGGACGCGGACGTACCCGCCCAGGACGAACCCGCCGCCCACCTACTACCCCCCGAGGGTGCCGCTGTACCCCGAGAGACCCGCCACCTCCACGGGGAACCCTTACACGGAGACCACTGCAGCTCCGCCGGCCACTTGCGATACCAGTTACGATGCTATTTCTGTTATCAGGCGCGATGTTTTCATATTCAAAGATGCGGTAAGGAAGCGATTATCATCACACTAGGTTTCTATTTATCTGATTTGTTTGTAGTACTTCTGGAGAATAGGAGAGACTGGGTTGATGCCCGGATATCCGGCTTTAATAAGGAGACTTTGGTACGGATTGCCTAGTACTCTTACGCACGTTGATGCCGTTTACGAGCGAACTGATGGTAGAATTGTGTTCTTTATCGATGATAAGTATTACGTGTTCCTGGATAATCACGTGGAAAATGGTTACCCGAAACCGCTGACTCATTTAGGAATTCCTCGGGAGATTACCCACATCGATGGTGCAATGGTGTGGGGCCACAACACCAAAACGTACTTCTACAGCGGCAATTTATATTGGAGGTAATTAATTAATCTTCCTTCAATTAATCACCCACAATTCTATTGATAAATTACTGAACAGATTCGACGAGGATGTACAAAAAGTGGAATTGGACTATCCCAGGGACATGTCGATGTGGAAGGGCGTCGGGCCCGATATCGACGCCGTGTTCCAATGGAAGGACGGCAAAACTTACTTCTTCAAGGGCAAAGGGTTCTGGAAATTCAACGATTACTACATGCGCGTGGAGCACAAAGAACCGAAGCCGTCGGCGCCGTTCTGGATGGGCTGCGGCACGAATTTGAATTCCACCACCACGGGATACGGACAGACCGAGTCCAGTTCGAGATATAGCCCGTCGATCGGCGAAAAAATGCCGTATAAATCTTCGTCAAACAGTTTGAGTTCGATCGGCGTTTGCGCGGCCGTCATCCTCGGCGCGTTTCTTGGTAAATGCTTATAATTGGATTTGATATTTTTGTAATAGACTTGGCAACTTTTCGCATGAAGCTTTTATCTCGGAAACGTAAAGGACATTCGCGCTCGCTAGGCAATGACGTCATTTTTAGACGACGTCGTTAATTTCCACGCAGTTCAACATTTCCCTAGTGTCAATGTTAATTCTCCCATTTGACTAGGGGAATTTAACGATGCGTAGTTGAAAATCGAAGGCGATGTTGTCATGCATTTAGTCTCAACATTCGCAATATTTAGCGGCGCTTTGTAGTTGACACTTTGACAGGTTATGACTACAATTTGTTGTTTTTACGCGATTTTCCTGTATTTTTTCAAGTTTACTAGTAAGTTTTGTGTTTTTCGTTCGTTCTAGATACTTTTTCTTGAGGTTTATGTACATTTATCGACAGTTTTTCCCGTGATTTTCGGTGTTTTTCGACCTATTTCTTCTCTTTAATTTCTAAACAATGAAAGTTAACATACCCTTAAATTAAATATATCTGTCACATCAAGATTTTCACATCAAGTTGGCTTGTGACGTCATTACCTAGCGAGCGCGAATATCCTTTACGGGGTAATCGGTTTTCTTCTTTTCTATCTATACAATTGAAACTGCCAATTTTGAATTACGAACCATTGGATGGAAAGGCTCAAGTGAATGTGCACACAAAAATATAATTGAACAAGAAACAAGTTTTTGTATGTAAAATACACAAAATGATTTATTACACACTTCAATAAGTACATCATGTGCACATTCGACAATCAAATTTTGGAAAAATATACTTATATAGCAATTTTTATACATTTTTTTCGTCGATAATTTATTGAAAAATAGTTTAAAGGCATAAAAAAGACGGCTTTATTTGGCGCGAAAATTCAGGCGAACGCAAAGACTGAATTAAAATAACCAACTGCCAATAACAAACTGTATCATCAAGATTTTGTGATATATTTTTTAAAAAAATACTTTACTATTATTTAATATCGGTTTAAGTGGAATAGCTTCATTATATAAAAATCTTTAATATTACTGTGATAATATATTAGTTACTTTAATGTAATTTGCATTCAAACTATTTTCAAAATTTATAGTAGAGAATAAAATTTAGTTCATAATTTTTTTTCTTCAAATAAACATATAAGCCTAAATGGATTTCTTGCTTAGAGAAAAGCCTAACGTAGCCCTGTATGCTTATTGAAAATTTATTCATCTATTTCATAATAATATGTATAAATTAGCAATTTAAAATTACTATTGCGCATGAAATCCTGTAAATTGGTTCTTCGTAAATAAAAAAAATATTCAAATATTTTAGTGCGAATAAAAATATCATAAATTATCAATAAAACATTTGGGGCCAAATGGAACGTTTTAGTTCTACTTAGATATGATTTTATTACTTGTATTTTTTAGAAATATGGTTGTTTAATTTTCTACTGTAAAGAATTTGGTATTGTACATAAAAAACATTGTATTTATGAATGACATGTAATAAACAAATTGATAAAAAAATTGTTGTTTTAATTAACAAATTAAATCTTTATTTTAACTCAAATAACACAAACTGACTTCAGAAAATAATAAAAAATCTATTCAATACAATTTATACAATAATATACATAATGTACTACTTAAGAGTATTTCGTCAAAAATGTTAAAATCTTAATGTAAAGGTACTATTAAAATCCAGTCAATTTTATTTATCAATCTTGTATTAAAAACATCAAAACTCCCTTTTAAAAAATTTCCATATATCCTTAAAATATTAAATATTCAACTGAATGTCTTTTTTTTAAAGAGAGCTATATTCTATTTAAAATAACACTGGGAACAAAACTTCAGACAGTTCTCTACTAAACCAAATTCTGATTGAGACAACCGTTTTTAAAACTACCTTAAGTCTCGTATAAAGCATTACATAAGCATTAAGCACTGAAATTTTATAATCTATAAATGTATATTTATCAAAAATTTATACTTTTTTAAAGTTAAAAGCGCCCGTAAAGTAAAATTTAACAAAACAATGTTCGAACAGATCGACTTAATAAACCTTTTGGTTTAGTAGAGATGGTTTTTTTTATTATTAACATTCAAAAAAAATCAGAAAACATACCTTCATTATTATTAACTGTGCCCTGCAGTATTGGTGTGTCATTTACCTAAACTCGTATATTTGTATACTGTTTTCAGGCACATGAGTTAAATTTAAAGACTGATACCTGAAACAACAAATTACATGTTAGCATAAAGAAAATTCCAGAAATACACCTTTAAAAATATAAAAGATAAAAACAATTTATTTTCATGCATAGAATTGAAGTGAAGGTTTACAATTAATTAAAGCATTTTAATGCATCATTCTTTTGTTACTGTAGGCTAATTGTTGATAAATTGGGATTTATATTGTAGAAAGGGGCTCCGCCCCTTCACCCCGCGGCTCAAAGGCCTTCCCGCCTTTTTCGCCATAAACAATATCATAGCAAGTTTCACTAATGACATCTACTACATACAAAAATGCAGTTATCTAGCCATATCCTAGATTCTGTACATTTCCCGGTTAAAATGACAACTTGCACTCAAATGTCATAAATGACAGCGACGTCACTGCGTCTAGCCAATCACAGAGCTCGATTTTCGCTCAATCCACACACCGACCAATAAAAACTCTCACTTAGTAGTGACGTCGTACCGATTAGTTTTGAACAAGTTATTAAAAAAAAGGATATTCATTCACGACTCACCACTCCGAACTTCTATGGTAATAATATCCCTCGATTGTAGCTTTGGACTTTTGGAAACAAATGTAATAAAAACCGGCGAACGAAGCTCCCGATATATCCTTAATCGTGTGATCGGGTACTAAAAAGTGTTCTTTCCATCGCATAAACACGTAATCCGTATTGGCAAGAGCTTTGTAATCGAACGAATCCGAATTGAACGTTTTCGCGTATTGGCTGAATAAGGAGAATTTGCTCTGAAATGTAAAAGGCCACATTAAGTGATGCTCGGAAAAGCAACATAGTACAGGTTACCCAATGCTTCCTATCGACGTCTTCATCGGCGTCCCATTTTCTAGTGAGGAACGGATATTTCTGACTGATTATCTCACCGTCGAAGAACGTGGTGAGTTTGGGATATTCGTCGGTGAGCCCGTTGATCTGTAAGTAGCCGCATAAATAGGAATTTTCCTCGTCGACATGCTGCAACAGAAAACATATGTAGAACAAACATTAAAAGTAAAAGTAAAGCGAAGTTACGTAAGAGCGCGAGTAAAGAGTAATCAGTTCGCAAACAACCACCCACGATAACAAAACGCCGTGTAATAGGCTATTTTCGTACGAAAATAAATTTCCTAACCTGCAAAATCACTTCCACTTCGTAACTGTTGCCTTTTGACTTTTGAAAACCTTGAAATTTCGATCCGTTATATAACAGAGACTTGGTAACTCCTGGTTGTTTTGAATTAGCCGGTAGGGGAGGTGTTATATCCACCCTAACCGGCATTTTTCCGATAATTTCCACAGTCTTATCCAATTTTCGGAAAGTCAAAATTTGTGTCAATATGGCGATGGCGACGCGCGGAGAAATCTAGAACTAGAAAACCATAGGCTAAATAAAAAGGATAGGAAATATCGGGAGACATATTTTTAGTTCGAATAATGAGCGTTATTAGCGCTGGTTTTGCAAAAAACGAAAATTTTTATTATTGCGGTCACTTTCATATTTTAATAATTACAAATAAACGTAGATTTTCCAAATATATACCAAACACATTTGTTTTCGCATTATTTTCTTTCTCTATTTAGAAAACAATAGCTTTGTTCTAATCGCCGATTTCACTTTCAAAAGATAGAACATATGAACAACCACTGTACTAGACAAAGATGAAACTTGTAAATGACAGATGAAATAAAAATTTCATTCAAATGATATGCAACACACATTACACACAGTTGTATTCTGGTATGCCTATGTAAGTATTCATGGTTATTCTTTTTTAATTCATTGTAAATAGGTAAATAGTTTTTTTAAATCAATACACACAGATTTAACGCAGTCAGGAAAGCAAATACAAATTAATACGAGGAAAAATATTAAGTCTAAACTTATTTTTTAGATACATATCTACATTTCTTCTGACAATTTGTTGTTATCTTATTTGACCGAGACGGTTCCGGCTTTTTATAGCAATTTCAAATATTAACTTTTAAACACATTTAAAATATTACGTATTTATTTAGATACTAAACATTTAGTTATATAAAATTATTTTACAACATTTTATTTTTCCGCAAACATTTAAAATTAACGATCCTTCTCCGAGTCCTTATCGCTTGTAGAATGTCCTCCAAACGCTTCCGCTGTACGGCCTGTATCCGGATCCGCTCGATATTCCTAAGAAATTGGTACCCCCAATACCCCCGTAACCCCCATTACCGTTATAATCGTAACCGTCATACGAATTGTACCCACCAGGGTAGTAACTACCTCCGTAACCAGGCCTGGAACCTCCGTAACCTACAAAAAAAAAAACAAACAACTTGATAACCGGCCATTTTCTTCTTGCAATTAAATACCTCTGTATCCACCGTAATCCCCGTAGCTGCCGTAACCGCTGTAACCGGGCCTGTAGGGCTTGTAACCGGTAGGCCTGTAGCCCGCGTAACTGTTGTAGCCCCCGTAACCGCCCCCGTAACCACCGTAACCGACGTCGTAAACGCTGCCGTAACCGCTACCGTAACCGCTACCGTAACCGCTACCGTAAGTACTGGAATAAAGGTTGCTGCCGGTGTTGAGCAAACCGTAACCACTCGCTTGCACTGTGGCCACAAATGCACATAGAAGAACCTGAGGAAGATAGAAATTATTAGCTACAAATTGCAATTACTAATTGGTAACTAAAGTTGTAATTATTATAGTATTATTGCCTTGTACTGTTAATTACAGTGTTTTGTTTTATTGTTGTTTGTGTCCAATTTATTAAGAACTATTACCCAAAAGTAGCAGGTGCGTAATTTTGCTTAGGAACGATCCAAGGAATTATTAAAGCGGCTACACAATATGCAATTAATTAAATTATGGACTATAATAATTTTGTTACACAATTTGCTTACTAACGACCTCATAGTAAACAAAATCATTGTTGTTGGGTACTTGACAAAATGGAAAAGTGTAACATGCATGCAAATGTACTTGATGCGATGAATCATTGGCATTGTGAGGTTTTTCCACAATTTATTCGTATTATTAAGACATTAAGCCGCTTGTTTCGCTATTTAATTTATGGAAAATATTGATGATTATACGGGGGTGCCTAATAGACTTCAGTAGTAAATTTACTGTTTGTGTAGGCTCTCTTTTAAACTTAAATGAGCCAGATCATAATGAATTTAGCAAGATTTTAGAAGTACAAGGTAGACTTGCTGTCCATACTATTGATATTACACCCACAATAAAATAAGTTCACCTAAAAATGTGTTAGGTAAGTATACAATTCACTCTCTCCGGTGTTTTGTCAGTGTGGAGTTGTTATAAAATCATTTAAACTAATTCAATTTAACGCGCCGGATATATTTAATAATCGAATAGGTACTTAAATAACGTAATTAACCTCGCTTTGCCCCGTTAATCAAGTTCACAAACGAAATATTGGATATCAAGGATTATGGTGCATTATAACGCACTGTGAGAATATATTCCTATATGCGCCTTTTTTGCCTAATAATTAATCCATGCATGAACGCAAGGGAAATAATAGCCGGTATTATTTTGAATAATTCATCCATTAAAAGTCGACATGATGTTTCAAGAAGGTCGATTTTGTCTCTTTTATTAATTGTTTTGACTTCTGAATGGAAATGCTACTTGAACATTTTTTTATTAACAATTTCGAATTTGTTATAAGCTCTCCCTACCTTTAAATAGGTTATAGTTCGTAACACTTTTATAATGTATGTAATAGTAAGGTAAAGAACAATGTATATGTAATAGTAAAAAATAGTATGATATGATATGGCTCAATGTCGAAAACAAAATTGCACAAATACATACATTAGTATTGAATTTAAATGAAGTTCTCATGTTTCTTGCATGGATAAATATTTAGATGTAAAGAAGAGATAAAATAAGCGTTGGATTTATTTATTTTATTAAACTTTGCGTAATAATTAACAACAAACCGTAATTAAGTTAAATATGCAATGGAAAATTTACTTTAGGGCGAGTCGTTTGTAAATACAAGTAAATAATAAACTAATTTTTATGGGTAATTTACTTGTTTAGATTTTTCTCAATGTCATATCGAGTGATGATTCATTTAAATTATTATAATTAATATTGAGACAGTATAAATTGTTTTTATTATTTACAGTACCACACCCTTGAACGTTATTGTATTTTTACACTCGTAACTCGTAATTAACATGAATTTTAATTGTTTTTTTTACGTAATATTCACGAAAATAACTAATGTAATAAGGTACTATAGAGGAATGTAGTACAAAGTTTTTTCCAAGTAAAAATTTATGTTTTAAGTGTGTCTAGGTAACTTTTGAATTTTCTTTACACTCCAAGTACCTACTTATACACGAACAAGTGTTTTTATAATAGATATTTTCATTATAGGTATTTTTTAGATATTCTATATTTTTTTATATTTATATATAGATACATATTACTCAGCTAGGTATTTTGTAATCATTTTTATAATAAATGGATTTTTTTATAGCAGTTTTAGTATTTAAATTTTTTAACAGCTATTATTGAATTCAAAAAATGCATCTAATTTAGATTAAAACGAAGTTAGGGAAATAAGAATAATTTATAAAAATATATAATAATTCAGAATCGGTCTCAGGTCAAAGAAAAATATAATTTCAACTAAAAATTATCCATATCAAATACAGATCAAGTTATTTAAAAAAAATCATTATTTTTAATTAATTCAATTTATTATTAATGAATTTTAATTTAATAGATCTTAAAAAATTACTAGTTATTTCTTGTTAAAAATTCTTGTTATCTATTATTTCTTGAGCGTTTTCTACTTACCACAAACTTCATTTTGAACACAGATTTTCAAAGATCGGCGAAAATCTAACGAATACGGCAATCTCGGCGGCAGGAGTTTTATTTATAGGCAGGACTATTGGTAAATTAACCTTGTTTACAGTATCTCCCACCTTGCAGAAGATGGTTTAAGTTCATTCAAATGAGACTGATTGACCGAAAAGGTATTACGTATCCGCTTCTAACAAAATATTGACCCTTGAGAAATATATCCGTTTTATTTTCGAGTTTTTGCTTTATTGTTAAAAATGTAATATATTAATTAAGTCGAGGTCGGATCCGGAGGGAATGGATTTAAATTTAACTAGACGTTAATTTAAAAGACAAATATTAAGTTGTTTTTTTTTATAATATTCATATTTTTTTGATAATTATGTAAAATTCATAAATACAGGTGAAGAAAAGGTGGTACATGTTAATAGGTTTTAATTAAATAGGTTGGGTACTTAAGTGTTATTAAATGCAAGGTTTTAAAAGTTGCCTTCGAAATTAAACAGGTAAAATTATAGAATAACTTAAAAAATCTGGCTCAAACGAAATGAAATGAAAATCACATTATGCAAGAAATTTTACATTTTTATTCCTTTATAGGTCATTATCCGCTTTTTGAACGATATTTGTAAAAAATAAATCCTTTCTAATTTTCTTGGCAAATTTACGCAATTATTAATGTTTGTTCTTGACAGTACATTCATACCAAGTTACATGCAGGACAGGAAATTTGTGTCTGTACTTGTTGTTTCAATAATGTACCTACAGTAATTCACCCTTGACACATCAACAGGACCGAACTTTATATAGTTTCACAATAAATGAATGAATATTTAAATAGTTAAATTAATAACTAAATTATAATAATTTCAAAATCATAAACAATAAATGTAAGTACTCACTTTAAGTGTAAGTACCCTATGTAATTTACCTAATAGATACGTAATTGCTGATTATATAGAATAATAATTGAGAGTAGGTACTAAAGAATTCTAAATTATTATGTAGCAAGGAAAACTTATACAAATGGAAAAAGTGTGTTCGAGTCCTGAATGAATCATAACCGTAATAAACGCTTAAAAGCGGAAAAAACTAATTTTTTAATAATTTTCTCTAATTGCAATGCGATATTTTTAACCATGCTTTACCGAGAAATTCGCAAAGAACATAATAAAAATAAGATACCAAGAATACATACGATTAAACCCGCATTTAAATATTCTTTTTCTATTTTCCACCAAACAAAAGACGCCTTATTTATTATATAACGAACCGGGCATGTAATGTTTAAATCAAATTACTGCTTAAGGACAAACAAAGGCGACAAACAAAGGAACAGGTGAGAAAATCTGTTCCGTCCAAATTGAAAAAAAATTAATGGATGTCAAACATTCATTTGGTAATAACTGAGGTAAGCAGTTTCAATGTCCGGTACTTCGATGTCACTCGGTACATTGTTTGCAAATGTTGTGCAGTACCGCATTCGTTTTAAAAATTACGACAAATCAACAGCTTAAATGGAAATTAAATCTTCTGGATAACTTCATAGGTTAGTAAAAAGTTAATTGAGTGTCTTGCAAGGTTATCCAAAAATTTCTAAAATTATATGAAATTGATACAAGTAATTATACTGTACTTTAAAATGCATTGCATTAATAGGTATCTTTACTCTAACAATTTCCACAAACCTACCAATTTTCTTGAGGTATTTACTGATTAAAATTGATAGGCAACAATTCGACTAAGATAAATGCTATTCAATAAAAACCATAATTAATAGAACAAAGAGTATTTTTACGATTAATTAAATAAACATAAATTCATAGATTTATTGATTACATTAACTATTGTTTCCTTAAATCATTTAATTTGTATCTATTTTTGAAATCCTTTACCCACATATACTGGAAATTATGACTAGGGAGTAATCGATCTGATAAGCAGATAATAAAAATTCAATGACTATACAGGTGGAAAAGCGAAGAAAATTTCGCAAATGGAAAAATGGAAAAATGATAAAAATGTTCTTATCATAAATTATTTAAAGAGAATTCAACGGCAATGCGCTTTATCTTCTTAAAAAATACATGGACATATTCTGTATTTTTAATATGGATGGAAGGGATATTACTCGTGTACTTATACAAAAAAGTCAGGTGTTACAATTTAATTGTTGTTTCCGAAGTTAAAATGCTATCTCCCTTTTATTTGTGGCTGGCAGTAATTTTTATTATATCGTAAGTACTAACTATTTACTATAGGGTTGTTTTGAGGAATCCTTTAACCTTTTTATTGAGCATTTTTATACTTATTTGCCAATACCCTTGGTAAAGAGCTGTTGCTAATAGTTAATCAAACGCATTTTAGTCGGAGTAATGCTTCTCATTTAAAAAACAACGGAGTTTTTCCCAAAAAATTCATCTTCGGCGCAGCCACGGCCGCCTATCAAATAGAAGGCGCCTGGAATGAAGATGGAAAGGGAGAAAGTGTTTGGGACGAATTCGTCCACAGATCACCTTCTCCCATAGCCAATAATGAAACCGGCGATGTCGCTTGTGATTCTTATCACAGATGGAAGGAAGATTTGCATTTAGTATCTAACCTCGGCATGCAGTATTACAGATTCTCCATTGCTTGGACTCGGTGAGTTTTTCGGATATCTGCTACAGATAAAGATAAACTACTAAACCTAGGTTTACCCAACTGCTAAATACTCAAGAAACATGGGTAGGGTAGGTTTCTTGAGTTTAACCTAGGTTAAATCTAACTTTACATATCGTAACATATCCATTTAAATAAACTAATATAATATACCAATACTCAGTAATGAGGTAAATTTATACAGTTAATTAATTATATATTTAAAACAAAGTTGGAATGTTTTTGACGCAAACACACACACATTTTAATTGTTTTTATTTATATTATTCATAGGTTAAATTTTTTTTAAGAATTATGTAAATTGAACAATTATGCGCAACAAAATACAAATATTTAGATATTCCAAAGCGATAAAGCAGGATATTGATGGTTTCTAGGCTGTTTCCCGACGGTTACGTTGGTAAAAAAATCAACCAAGCAGGACTAATCTATTACAAAAAACTGATACAAGAAGTGGTCAAACTGGGATTAATGCCGGTAGTGACTCTCTTCCATTGGGACCTTCCCTTGAAACTCTACCAGGACGGCATCAGCTGGACCAACGACTCGATAATAGACATTTACGTTAATTACACCAGGCAAGTTATAAAGCATTTCCCGGAAGTTAGCATATGGATAACCGTCAACGAGCCGAGAATTTACTGTCGATACTCCTACGGGTTGGGCACTTTGGCTCCCGGAATAAAAGAAAGCGGCATTTTGGACTACCAATGTTCCTATGTCATCTTGAAAGCCCACGCTGCTGTCTATCGAATGTACAAAAAGGAATTCCCCCTTTACAAAGGTACAATTTTCAAATACTACATTCGAAAAGAATAACTTTATAAACAATTTATAGCACCGATGTCGATAGTGGTCGATTGCCAATGGTACGAACCAGAAACCAACAAAACTGCAGACATTCAAGCGGCCGATAGGCAACAACAATTCGAGGTGCAATTGAAGCTAAATAATACAATCAATTCGTAACGATTCTTTGTATTTAAGTGCGGAATGTATTACCATCCCGTGTTTATCGGCGACTGGCCGTCTGTTGTGGTCGAAAGGGTGGCGGAAAGGAGCAAGAAAGAGGGTTACAAGAAGAGTCGCCTTCCGAAATTCACGATGGAAGAGATCAAATTCATTCGAGGAACCCACGATTATCTGGCCGTGAATCATTATTACACTTTCTTGGCTGCGGACGAGCCAGAAGCGCCTTACAATCACACCGATTACGATAACGATGTGCGTGTAATCAATTCGAGATCGCCCGATTGGGCATTAGCATCCAACAAATACGCTGTAAGTTACTTTACATCTTCCATTAAACTTCTCTTTACCCGATAAAATATTGTTTTAGATCGTCCCTTGGGGCGTTAGAAGGGTTTTGAACTGGCTCAAGCAGCAATATGGCAACAACATGATTATAATTACCGAAATGGGTACATCAGATGATGGATCGTCGTTAAACGATTACGAACGAATTAATTTCTACTGCGTAAGTACTGAAAATTTTAAGAAAAAACGAATTGGAGGATTGTTTTATTGCAGGACTACTTCTGCGAAATATTGGAAGCCATGCAAATAGATCGAGTGAAAGTTATTGGATTGTCCGTTTGGAGTTTAATGGATAATTTCGAATGGAACGCTGGCTACGCGTATGTTGATGATATTGTAATTGAAATATATGATGAAATGATTTATTTTAGTTCTCATTTTGGTTTGTACAACATCAATTTCCACAATGATACAACGTTGAGACGTACGCCCAAGAGATCGGTGGGTTTCTTCAAGATGTTGAACAAAACTAGGAAGCTCCATTGCTCGGGTTACAAGGGAAATTGGACGGAGCCCAATTGGGGCCCGCACGGGAAAGAGCATTACAGCTACGATAATCGCTTGCATAGAAGCCACAAATTATAATAAACAATGCCCATTGGTTAAATAAATGTTACTGATTTGATTTTGTCTTCAACGTTTATCGATTGCATTTAATTTGATCTCGTATTTCACAGGGATATAATAAATACGTACTGAATAAAGAATTGTGTGCTTTTTTTAATGCAAACCTAACCTTTGGTTACAAAGTAAGCACGAGCTTTGTGGGCTTTAACTTGAATTATTTATTTATATTATCAAAAACTTCTGTACTAATATACATATTTCAATATGTAATACCTAGTAATTGGCAAATTTAATACCACAAAGGTATTTTGTCTAAAATTTTAAATACCCAATTATATTACTGACAAATATTTTATAATTTACTATACGCAATTGAATATCTTTACAATTACGCATAATCTAACGGAAAAAGTCATTTTTTTAATTATTAAGTGAATAAAAGTTTGAAACTTGGTCAATTCTATGAGTTGAACAGAGATTATTAAAATAACAGTTGTTAGAATGAGAAAGTTACAATTCCCCACAATATCACTCTATCTTTTTTCTTTATATGAGACTAATAGAAGTCTATAACTATAAGGAAAAAAAAGTTAAATATTAGTAAGCTAAACAATAGCAATTTTAATAAAAAATCGTGGTAAATCATCTCATATGATCGATAAAATACGTTTTATAATTTTGTTAAATCACAAGTGTAATTTTCTAAAGTGCAACTTTTGGCATTATTTTTGAACTTGGAAAATCACGAAATTTTCCTCAATTTACATACTGAATTATTGAATATTAAAATGCCCTATTTATTAAGGGTCAATCAGTATGCACAAACATATAGGTACTTACTAAAGCTAATTTCATTTTATGATGCAGATATACAAAACAATATTAAAATTTTCATGAATTTAAATTAACCAATACATTTCTAAAAGACGTGTCTTATCAAAAATTCAAAATAAACGCCGATTTATTAGCAAAAATCCAAAAACAGAGGGGAGTCGGAGTAAGTATAAATGCAACAATTAAAATCTCTTTTTCAATTGCAAAAATGGCTTTCATCCTTCGGACGTGCCTGGTGCTAACATTGACCATTCTGTAAGTATACATATTTTCATATTTTCGATAAATAACCATGCAATTTTAGTCTAAAGAATGCAGCAGGGCTCAAAAACAACGGACGTTTTCCCAACGACTTTTTGTTCGGAGTATCTACAGCTTCATACCAAATTGAAGGTGCTTGGTTAGAGGATGGCAAAGGTTTGAGCGTTTGGGACGAATTCGTGCACAGAAACCCATCACTTGTGGTTAATAATGATACTGGTGATGTCGCCTGCGACTCTTACCACAGATTTAGAGAGGACGTCCATCTAACCGCAGGCTTGGGTGTCCAATTGTACCGCTTTTCCATCTCCTGGGCCAGGTAAATTAGAGTACCAAGATGGAATTCGCTGGACTCAAAATTCAAAACAATCTTTTTCAGACTTTTCCCGGACGGGTACGTCGACAAAATAAACCAAAAGGGCTTGAGATACTACAAGAACCTAATCCAAGAAGTCATCAGGCGCGGTTTGAAACCGGTTGTGACGCTTTTCCATTGGGATCTTCCGCTTACGCTGTTCCAGGATGGTTTGAGCTGGACAAATCCTGCACTTATAGACATTTTCACGCAATACGCCAAAGTTGTTATAGAAAATTTCCCGGAAGTCAGCATTTGGATCACCTTCAACGAGCCCAGGGTTTACTGCAGGTATTCCTACGGTGAAGGAGTTTTGGCACCAGGACTTAGCGAGAGCGGTATATTGGACTACCAATGTACTTACGTCCTTATAAAAGCCCACGCAGCTGTATATCGAATGTACAAGAGAAATTTCCCGCAATACCAAGGTAACAATTAACCAACCTAATCCCAAACAATTTCATCATTTCGCTACTTGTTCCTCAGCGCCGATGTCGATAGTAGTGGATTGCTCTTGGTACGAGCCAGAAACCAAATACCCCGATGATATAGAAGCGGGCAACAGGGCGCAACAATTCACCGTAAGTACCTCGATAACTTTCGATTTTATTCACTGATGGAAATTTTTTCAAGTGCGGAATGTACCTGTGGCCCATATTCAACGGCGACTGGCCGAAAGTGGTCAAAGACCGAATCGCAGAGAGGAGCTACAAAGAGGGTTACACGAAGAGCCGTCTTCCGCAGTTCACCCCGAAGGAAATCGAATTCATCAAGGGCACTTACGATTACCTGGGAATCAATCACTACTCGACATTTTTGACCAGCGACGAGCCGGAGGCGCCGTACAATGATACTGATTATGGTAACGATATTCGTATAGTGACCACCAGGATGTCCAGGTGGGGAGTAGGGGCTAATAACAAGGCTGTAAGTTAGCTGGAATGTTATGAAAAGGGGTAGGAATTAATTCGAGGAAATTCCAGGTGGTTCCGTGGGGTGTGAGAAAAGTACTGGTGTGGCTTAAAGAGACTTTTGGAGACCAAAAGATATTCATTACAGAAATTGGGTTAGCGGATAATGGTACAAGTTTGGACGATTACGATAGAATCGATTACTATTCTGTGAGTTCGAATAGCGATTTTTATACTTTATAGCAAATTTTATATTACTTTTAGGACTACTACTGTGAAATATTGGAAGCCATGCAAGTTTACGGCGTCGACGTTTTCGGTATCTCCACGTGGAGTTTAATGGACAACTTCGAGTGGACTTCGGGATATTCGTGAGTACGAATAACTGTAATTTATCACGTTTTGGTACTTATTACTTTGCAGGATGCGCTTCGGTTTGTACGCAATCGATTTCTACAATGACATTACATTGACGAGGCGGCCGAAGAAATCCGTGGAATTCTACAAGAAGCTCACTAAAACTAGACAGCTGGACTGCAGGAATTACAACAGAGTGTGGCCTCCGCTTTCGTGGGGACCTTATGGAAAGGAATTCTTCGATTACAAGCACAGATGCGAGAGGAGAATGAAGAGAAAAAATATAATCTTTTAGAATTAAGAATTTTTTCTAACGAACGGCGCATATAGGACTTTATTTTCAATTATTGGAAGATTAACAATAAACTTTGAACAGTAAAATAGTAATGGATTTTAATACATATTTGTAAGCTTAATTGTACCAATTTGGTTTAAATCTTGATGTGGTCTAAGGTTTTTAAAGGAAATTTGGTACAATGTACCCTTAAAAATTAGTATATTTAAAGGTTTTTCAAGAAATTTCCATCGGCATTCTCAACGCCAAAGGCACCTAAAAGCACGGAATTCCCATGTAATATGGTAGCTCCGATTTCCAAGATATTACTCAGCTCTGTAGTAAAAATATAAACGCTGGAATTAACAAGAAAAAAAACTATTACAGTCAAAATTAAAGAAACAACAAAACATTTACCTCAAATTCCACCTCTCATCAACGATCTTCTTGTAAAATTTATCCCTAATATTCATAATAATATCGGGAAAAGTCGACCGGTTGATTTCACAGAGACTTTTATTGTCCACCAGATGCTCCTTCTCCTGTCCCAAAAGTACGATTTTCTTCACGCTGCCGCTGTATGTACTTACTAACAAAGACACATCGATTACCCCTAAAGCATCATCCACGCTTTTAGTGAGGAAAAATACCACGGTATTCCCCCGAATTTCTATATCAGTAGAGAATAGATGGTGAATGTAACTCTCATCTTTCCTCAAGTTGCTTTTTGTAAGCAAACAGGTATTTTTTGTACCTAAAAATCAGTTTTTGTAATATAATTTAAAAAAAAACCCTTGTATATAAACTTGCCTAAAAGGGAACCTTGTATGCAGCTGCATTTATACGGAAAAGACGAAGTTAAGTGTTCGGGTATCGAAGATAAATTAGACGGGTACAGACATTTAGAAAGCTGGATGCCCTGACTGAATAAATTGTAACAATCCTAGAATAAAAAATCGTTGTATTACCTTCGGAAGGACATAAAAAATGTCTACCTCGTCCAATCCGATGTAAAAATTCGTCGTAAAATACGTAGTAATGGGATGGGTGTACATGTAGGGCCACAAACTCCTCCAAAAGGCCAAATCTCTGTTAAAGAAACTCTCGAAAAATGTTCCCGTTACCGGTAATGTTTCGTGGGTCCATCCGGGCGCGAAGATCGCGACCGATAAGTTCAAACGATGGGCTACTTCTACGGCCTGGAAGGCGTTTTAGATGAGAATTGAGGCGGTTTCGGGGCGATAAATTTTCGTACCTTATCGGTGTTGAATTTTCCACCGCCAAACATGTTTCTGCCGAACACGTCGACGCCCACGAACACGTCGCTTTTGCGATATTTTGCCGCCATGGCGGTTTTTTCTAGCGTTTTTTCGCTCCACGTGTAGTTTAGGAATATCCCATCGCAGTTGTCAAAGAAGTAACTAAACACATTCAGCGATAAGTTGATATTTTCAACAAATTAACACTGTAGAATAGGGTAAAGTAGAATAGAAGATAGTAGAGGAATCCGGAGAACGATATGTAAAAAATAACTGTTACTTTGTAAAAGTCGTTACTGCACCTCTATACCAAAAAAATTATTTCCATCTCTATTAACTTTCTGTCATATGAAATGTCATTAATGTCAATTGTGACAAAAGTAAGGTAAACAGGAAGCGCATATAATTATGCAATAACAATAGGAAAACATAAATATTGGCACATTTTTTTTCACTTTTTATCTTGTTATTGCATAAATTTCCTGTTTGTTATCAAAGTTTACCTAGTTAAATTTTGTTCACCATTTTTTTTTACAAGATTGATAAATCCTGCTTTTTCCTGTATAAAACGAGAAAGGCGAATGTATTTTGTTTTGCAAGAAAACTTGTTTTTAAAAGTGTGTTCTAGTTTCCGATTAATCGTAAACATTTGTAATACATGGAATTATTTGAAACCACAAGTATTATGTTATCTCACAATTCCCATTATTTTTTTCATAATATTCATTTACCACCACAATTTAAAATAAGTAATTAATTCTCACCGATTTTTACTGTTCAACTCGTTTTGCCATCGCAAATCCCCCGTATCCGTGACACTATCGTACCATATAACCAGGTTTCCAGGATTGTCTTCGTGAATCAGCTTGTTCAAATACGGAACAAACTCCTTCAAAGCCTGAACGTTCGTTACCTTATTTTCTATATTCAATAACCAACCATCGAAACCAAAAAGTTTCGTTACTTGAGCCAAAGATTCTGCAAATGTCCGCATCGATTCGATGTCTCTGAACAGCTTTTTATCGCACATGTCATGCCCTGAATCGAATTCCGTTATTAAAGTGCCTGAAAATGGTACTTATTAGATACAGTATAATAAAGTTTTATAAGTTGAATTAAATTAAATATCACCTAAGACTTTAACACCGTTTTTATGCCCTGCATTGATCCAACAAAGCGGAGGAATCGTAATGAAATGATGACTGAAATACACGAATATATCTATTTGCGACCAATTGTAGAAAGTGTACCCCTGCCCAACGATATCCTCATCGGAATTGTGCAAATATCTACAAAGTTTGTAGCATAAAATAGCATAAAATACCACAAAAATAGCAAACCTATCCGCCTGATATCCTCCCTTGTAATCATGGCAAACGAGCACTTTAGGCACTGTTCTGGAATCGACCCGTTTCTTCACCACAAACTCGTCGATTCCACTGTGGCAATCATCTACGTTATTTTTCACCACCCTTCCCGATCTCGGTACGATTGGTTGGACTTTGTAAATCCAATCGGGCGGCTCCTGAAGGACCTGCTCCAACTCCGTTATATTCGGTATGGGGTGACAAACGCTGAAAATGCTGGGCATCATCTTGGAATACGACCCATTCCTCTCGTAGTAAGAGTGTTTACGATTTGTTTTGAACGACATAACCTAAGATTTCGATTTATCGTTTGTCAAAAACTGGCCTTGCACTTCACTAGTTAGCAGCTAGAATACTTCGGAAATCGGGAAATGAACTAAAATATTCAAGTTCAATTCGAAAATATATATACCGATATCGGTATTAACGCCAAGCACTGAGCATGCTCCTTTAAACCAATGAATTATTTTATAGTACACCTACGAGGTACGTCCAAAAAGTTCCTTATCGCTAGACCTCTACGAACAACACAATAGTCCATATTTATAAAAATGAAGCATTTACTTTGAAGTAAAAGGTAGAGGTAAAAGATAAGAGAAAAAGCTTTTGCTTAAAAGCAACAGCAGGATCCTCGAAGTAAAACCTCTCTTCACTTCTTTTTACGCATACACCTTGAAGCAATTCCTTCATTTTTTGAAGCAAAAGGTTATGCTTCTCTTTATAAATACGGCCTAATAAGATAAAAAATACCAGCAGCGATTCTTAACGTTATTAATATTTAAAAAATATCTTAAACAATCTTTCAATTCAATCCCAGTACTTTATCAGGCCATCCCATCCGGCAGAAATCAGTTTGCTCGGCTCGTGCGGATGCCAGAGGACGCTGATGCACACGTTATCGTGCGCCTTCCACTTCTTGAACAGTTTAGTGGACTTCCAGTCCCAAATATACACTTTACCATCGGCATCCCCTGACGTCAGGTAGCTCATGTCAGGAGAAAAGTCCAAGGAGCAGGCGTATCCGGCCACCATGTGACCACTGAATGTCTTCTTACGATTAATCTTAAACCGATTCATGGAAGAGAATATGACGACTTTGTTGTCCATGCTTTGGCAAGCCAACCATTTACCTAAAATCATACAATTTAATTAAACGGTAAGTACTAAATAGATTTAAAGTAAGTACCGTTCGGTGCCGGTGTTACCGATGGCATACTGTGCATCGTGGGATCTGCAATGTATTTCATATCGACCGGAATGTCCCATTCCCACACTCTCAACGATTTATCGTCCGAAGTCGTCACGAACCGTCGGTTTTCGTCAACGAATGTAATACTATTAACAGCGCCCAAATGCCTGTCGTACTCTTGCACGATATCCCCCGATCTCGTATCCCAACAGATGATCTTCTTATCCGATGTACCGGCCACGAACAAATGCTGTTTGTTCCTATCCGGATTGAATTTAACGCAGTAGGGTATTTTCCTGCTGGTGAAACGCGACAAAACCTGACCCGTTTCCGTATCCCACAATTTTATATACCTAAAAATATTAATAATTATCAATATTTAACATCGCGTATTCATCTACACTTTACCTGTCGTAACCCGCAGATAAGAAATGCTTTCCGGAATTGTTGAAATTGATGTCCCTAACGGCCTGTCGGTGTCCGTAGTAGGTTCTCACGCAGCGCCTTTCGTTGTAGACCTCCCAAATTTTAATGCGACAGTCCATTCCGGCCGATAGCAGAAGATGCGCCGTCCTGGGGAACAACCGTATGGCGGCGATGCCCTTCGAGTGGCCCGTCCAAGTGTGAATGTGGGCCTTGGGCAGGAAACATTTGTCCGGCGGAGTGTCCGATTTGAGATTGACGCCCACGTCTTGGGGCGCGTGGAGGAACGAACGACCTTGGTAATCCACGGCGTCTTTGATGTGCAAGACCGACTTTTCTTCGAGCGGTTTATCTTCGCTGGGTTTACCTATCGGAGAAGTAAACGATTAGTAAGTATTGCGAGTATAATAGAAAGTTGTTTACCTTTTTTATTCTTTTTGGAGGATATCTCGTCGAGTTCGATTTGTTCTTCCTCGGTGGGTTTGGATATTTTCTGCTCGTCCACGAAACCACCCCAGGGGCCTAGGAACCCCTCCACGTCGCTGGGATCGTCGTTTTTCTTCCTTTTCCGTTTATCCAGAGGTCTCGTTTTGGAGGCTTCGAACACAGTTTTAATGCTGCTCTCGTCGGCGTCCTCCGAAGACCCGACCACTTTGATCTGCCCGTCGTTGGTTACGGAAGGGTCCAGGGCGTAGCCGTAACTGGCGAAGGTGCGCCTTTGGTTTTCGAATTGGAATTCGCTGACGTGGGCCCTTTCGATGTGGCCCGAGAGCATGTTGCGTTCCACCAACTGTTGCTGGGTTTTAAAAGGATTAGCGGGGCCCAGGGCCGGTGCGAACAGTACATCGTACTTGGGATTGAACGCTAGCTCTTTTGTGTCTACGTCTATGTGCATTTGGTCCTCCTCTAGCCCAGTGGGGAGGACTTCTGGTGCTGCGCAAATTGCGAGCTGGGTTTTTAACGAATACTCCGAAGGATTCGAAGGCTCTTGATTAACGGAGGATGTTTGTTTGTCTTCTTCTTCGTCGCTGCTACCTGAGTATTGTTGTAATGCCAACATATTTTCGTATTTAAAGTATCTAAATGTTTAAAGACAAATCTAAAATGCGTAATTTTAGTTAAAACGTTTGAAATTCAGCACTGTTCACAAACTCATAACATTTCTCACATTGACAAACGATGTTTTGACATTTGACGTACACTTCAAAACTTTTTTCTAAATCCTGCCTCTGTCCAATCAGGAATACAGTTAATTTTGTTGAAATATTTTATGACGCCCGTATTGGCTCATCGGCTGTAATTAAACAAATCGAATTAATCAGATTTTATAAACAATTTACACGTCAAATATACAAAATTGTGGCAGTCGGCAAAATTTTCGTGTATAACTACAATATTCAACTAAAACAACAATGGCTTTCAATTTCAAAAAACTCCCTATAGACAAAGTAGAACTAAAAAATAAAAGAGTGGTAATAAGAGTGGACTTCAACGTTCCTATGAAAGATGGAAAAATCACCAACACCCAAAGAATAACAGCGGCTTTAGACACTGTTAGGTATGCAATTGAAAAAGAAGCAAAGTCGATAGTACTGATGTCACATTTGGGCCGCCCGGACGGCCAGCCGAATCAGAAATATTCCTTGAAACCAGTTCACGAGGAACTGGAGAAGCTGTTGGGCAAGAAAATAATGTTCCTTCCGGACTGCGCCGGGCCAGAGGTCGAAAAAGTGTGCAAAAATCCCGCTCCGGGCACCATCATTTTGCTGGAGAACCTCCGCTTTCGCCTAGAGGAGGAAGGTAAAGGAAAAGACGCCCACGGAAACAAAGCCAAAGCCGATCCTGACGACGTGAAGGAGTTCAGAATGAGTTTATGCAGATTGGGCGATGTATACATCAACGATGCCTTCGGTACCGCCCACAGAGCCCATTCCTCTATGATGGGCGAAGGTTTCTGCCAACGAGCCTGCGGATTCCTAATGAAAAAAGAACTGGAATACTTCGCCAAGGCTCTAACGAACCCCCCGAGGCCGTTTCTGGCCATTCTAGGCGGCGCCAAGGTGGCCGATAAAATCCTCCTAATCGAGAATCTAATAGACAAAGTCAACGAAATGATAATCGGCGGCGGAATGGCGTACACCTTCCTCAAAGAAAGCGACGGCATGGAAATCGGCAACTCGCTCTACGACAAAGAAGGCGCCAAAATCGTGCTGAACCTCCTCGAAAAGGCCAAATCGAAAAACGTCAAAATCCATCTACCGGTCGATTTCATCATCGGCGATTCCTTCAGCGAGAAGGCGAGCTCGAGCTGCGCCACCATCAAGCAGGGCATACCCAGCGGGTGGATGGGGCTCGACATCGGCGCGGAGTCGGTGTGCAGGTTCAAGGCGCCCCTCAGGCGGGCCAAGATCATCGTGTGGAACGGCCCGGCGGGCGTCTTCGAATGGGACAAGTTCGCTTCGGGCACCAAGGCGATCATGAACGAGGTGGTGGAGGCCACCAGGAACGGTTGCATCACGATCATCGGCGGCGGCGACACCGCCACTTGCGCCGCCAAATGGCAGACTGAGAGCTTGGTGTCGCACGTTTCGACTGGAGGCGGTGCCAGTCTGGAATTGTTGGAAGGGAAAGTTCTGCCCGGCGTGGCTGCTTTGACTGATGATAAATGATTTTGTTTCTCGGTACATGAGTTTTTTTTTGAATAAGTAATATAATATTTTGCGTAGAACTCTACTGTAATGAAGTCATTTTTCTTTCGCAAATTGTATTAATTGCGCGTGACCTTGATTGCGATCGAGTCTTCCGCCCGCTCGAGTCCCTTCCACTGCCGAATTCTCCTACTTGGTTTCTAATACCAGTGGAAGGACAAGGGCCAGTTTTTATGCTAAAAATAGAATATAAAAATGGGAGCCTCGATCGAAATAGGACAGTTCCATCTGAAGTGATCTTCTGGAAAATAACCACCAGACCACGACTGAAGGTACGACCGAAGACTGATGGTAATTGGTAAGTGTAGTCAGTTGTAGATTTTGTATTATTCTATTTTGATTTCCTGTCAGGTTCCCTTCGAACCTAACAAATTGGTTTTCACCGAGAGGTTGAGAAACGCTTTGTGAAACCAATATTTGTCGCTGTGCTTTACTCGCGAGGTTGAAAGACGCGTTAGTAAAGTACAAACAAGACTTTTTCGAATCGTTATACCCTTAATATCTTACTTCTGTACTTTACAAAGAAGGTTGAGAAACGTGGTTGTAAAGAATAGGCAAGAAAACCATTTTTCCGACTTTTATTCCCTGACTTTTTCGATTTTATAAATAAATTTGAAAATGGATAAAATCTACACGACTACACTTGAATTATTTGTAAGACGAAACCGTTCTATTTCATACCCGCTGATTTTATTAAGAAAAATAATAGAAATAATAGAAAATTAATAAAAGAACTATTTCTGGATAACCGCTTAAGTAGAGCATCTAAAATAATGTTTCGCCAAAGTACTTCTATAAAAAATGTGCTGAATTCGGCCCTGCGTCAATTATTAAGTGGCCGTAAAAGTATTCGATAAAAGTCACTGAAATTGACACTGTTGACATTAATGACATTTTCTTATTCTCGTTTTCTTGGATTTTTAGTTTGCATGGTGAAGTTTTAATTTGTTTATGTTTCGTTTTATCTGTTGATTGTAGTGCATTGTTCGTAATTTCGTGTGCTTTGTCTAAAATATTTTAAACCACATTACCTACGTTTATTTGTGATAGAATTACACGGTTGTTATGGAGAAAACAAAAAAACTTTCCAAAATTCTTCTGCAATTTCACGAAATTGTGGAGGAAAAGCAGAGCATCCAAGAGAACCTGGAGCAAATTATAAACCAGGTCCTATCTACGTTTACTTTTTAATACAATAAAACGTTTATTTTGTTAAATTATTGCAGATTTATTCGGCTACGGAGTATCTTAAAGAAAACCACAACAAGATGAAACCTAAGGAAATTACACATGTTCACAAACATTGCATTGATGTATTGAAGCAATTAACCGATATAAATTCTAATTTAGAGGAGCTGGTGTTGGAAAATCCACTGGAACCTTTGCACATTAAAGAGCAGATATTCCATGACAAACCTGGAGTATCCAATACAAGCTGCGTACTAGATATAGTAGAAAAAGAAGCACCTGTACTAGTCAAAACCGAGTGCCTTACAAATACTAATGTACAAACTCATAACGATATCCAAGAAGCTATAGATTATTGTGATGAAAATCTAATTAATTCCATATCTTACCCATCCACATCGTTAGTTTATTCCACTGCAGACGACATTCAAATACCCGAAAAAGATGTAAACGTAACCCAAGAATTACCTGCTATAGAAAAAGGCCTCTTATCCGAAGACTGCGCAGCAAAGCAACCCGTTATTAAATCAACCAGCCCTTTGATTTGCTATTCACCCGCCGATACAGCCGAAGATTCCTATTACTCGGCATCTCCATCTTCAAGTCCAGTACATTTTAAACCACTGGGTAATATAAGCAAAAGTAATGATCCGTCAAAATGTTCCACTTTAGAGAAGCTCAATAATTACATGCCTAGTAACAAAGATGTGGAAAGTTGTCGTGTAGAGAATGCCCCAGATATAAGACTGAAACCTAAGTGTACGATACAAAACGATTTACACGATGTGAGCAAGCCCGGAAAGTTTAAAGATGAATTTACAGTTACTTATGGTAAATTGTGTAAGTTGTGTGTGTGTTAGTATGTGTAATTACTTGTATTTTGTAGAATTAAAGCCGAAGAAAACGCCAGAAGTTGGACAAGAATGCGTCATGAGCCATATAGAATCGCTCGATGAGTTTTATATTCACGTTGTAGATTGCGAAACATCAGAAATCGATGATTTGAATAAAAGAATCAACGATTTTTGTGGAAATAAAAATTGGAAATCAAATTACAGTAATAAAACGGAAGCTTTGAATAATATCGGGAGGTTTTGTGTGGCGTTAACAGACGACCGATGGTACAGAGCGGAAATCTTAAATGCCTTCGTAATGATTTTTATTACTTTATTGTTTATCTAATATTACAAACATTTTTTTGTAGAACAAAAAACAAGATGAAGTGCTCGTACGCCTCGTCGATTATGGAACTACATTAACGGTCTCTTATAAAAAATTAATGAAATTAAAAGAATGGATGACCTACTTACCGATGCTAGCTGTTAGATGTCATTTTCCTCTAGTGAGATAATTTAAAATATATATTCATAAAAAACTAATTAATTGATTTCAGTTTTATCCTCCATCTTCGACGAAAAATAACAAACTGGCCAAATGGCCTCAGGAAAGTAGAGAAGGTTTAATCAACTTGTGCGGGTTAGGTAACTCGGAGGGTCAGCTGCAATATTTCAAAATCGAATACGCCCAGGAAACAGAGCAAGTTTTTCGATTTACTTATAAATTTAGTATTCAACAACTTTTCTTTTACAGGAATTCTCTGGCTGTTGATCTAGTGTTCTCCGAAAAAGACAACGATGGAACTACCGTAGGAGAAATACTATTAGAATCGAATTTAGCCGTGCAAATTTTAGACGAATGTAAATATACTAATTTGTATTACGTTTTGTGTATTTATCAATGATTATTCCAGATGATGATGCTGATTTAGAGCAATTTTTGGAGGATGTGAGCGATGTGGAAATAGACAATGTAAACGAGGCTTTCACTGGCTACGATGCGAAAGACGAGGCCAGAATTTGCAAATTCGCTCGTAACGGTACTTGTTTCAAAGGAAAAAATTGCAAATTAGAACATGACATGTTACCTAGAGGTGAAAATTTCATATTTACCTCGCGTACTATTACTAAAATTTATTTTTATAGATGGCTTTACGACTGATAAAGAGGCCATTTTCAAAGAACCACTGCCGTTTGTTCCTCCTGCAATCGAAACAACCGTTATGATCCTCATTACGGGTTACATCGACACCTGTCGATTTTTTGCGCAAATAATTAACACTCCATGCAAGATCAAAGGTGATTATTACATTACGAAATGTTTAGTAGCATTTTTAGTAACGTGTTTCTTTTAAGAGTACGCTATGGATCGCGATTTCGTGAATTTAATGAACCAAATCAATTCGAGGAAGAACCAAAGGTTTTATGAAACGTTCAAAGTTCTACCGTCTATAGGAGAAATCGTGATTGTAATGCACTGGAAACAATGGTCTCGAGGGGTTGTAAGAGATATCACTATCGGAGACGATACAAGACATGCACAAGCAAAGGTTCGTTTTCATTAAAGCTTGTTATTAATTTAATATTATTGTTTTTTGTTTTTAGGTGTTTCTCGTAGATTTTGGTGAACTCGTACAGTGTTCTGTGAGCGAGCTAAGGAAAATTCAAGCGCAGTTTTTGGAGCTCCCCTTTCAAGTAACCGTTTCTTAAAAATATACTTAAAAAAATCTATAATTGTGATTATTTTAGGCCGTCGAATGCCAGATATACGAGTACGAGATGAGCAAAAGTTGTTCTGAGGACAAAGCGAAGAAGTTTTTCCACGAGCATATGTATTTCCGAAATTTTACCGCCACAGTATTGTAAGTTTATGTTCTTTTATTAATTAATATCCAATTAATTGTTAGTCAAATTTACAGATCGTGCAAGGCTCCTTTGAAACTGGAGGTGAAAAATTTAAACGGCTCGATACGAGTAGGGAAAACATTAGAAGAAAAGGGATTTGCCGTAAAATATGCTCACGATGTCAATGTTGATGACAATTGCTTGTTGGATTTATCTTAGATTTGTACATTTATTCGTATTATTGAAGACTTTCAAATTAGCTTAATTATGAGAAACGACAAAAGTAATTACTTTTAAGACAATTCTGAATCTTTGCAAGCTAAAAAAAATTATATTTTATTTAATGATTGTTGTGTTCATTTTTTATTAGTATATATAATTATTTTAATTATTGTTGGTTACATTTATTACAGATGTACTATTACAATTAATGCAATAAATTATACATTTACGTTTAATTGTACTTTTTTACCTGATTGTCCAATTTAGAAATTTCAATTGAATCAAAAATTTAGAAAGAAGAAAATGATTTAATCATAAAAAATGTCATTTGAATCGTGAAACATCCAAAAATGTTGGATCAATCTTACAATTTCAGATTCAAAGTAATATCTATGCTTGCATTGTGGTACGATAAAACGCCCCGTAAACTCCACAAATTTTTTAATCATTTAAAATATTTTCAGTTTTCTTTTGCCCAGCATGTGCCTGCTGCTCATCATTTACACGATGCTACTTTACGTTCAATAATATGTCCAGTTTCGAGATGGTTTTTAATAGTAAAAATTAAGACAAAGCGAGTAGTTTAATAAATCCCATTAGGCGGAGGCCCGCCGAAAACGTACGCCCAAGAACTGGGACAGACGATTTTCCTCGAATATTCCTGCAGGTCGAGCACACGAAGCAGCTTCTCCAATAAAGCCTCGGCATCGGGCCTATTGTCTCCTTCGCTTATGAACTTCCCCAGTAAAAGGCACTTTAAACTTCTTGAAATAACACTGTACAAGTTTATGGAGAACCCGGCACCGTTTATTAGGTATTTTCCATTTTCATTCATTTGCAATTCTTTAACATTCGGAATACTCGCAGGGCTATTAACTTGCGTACTGTCCAAAAAGTAGAACCTTTCGTTGTTAATGTTATGCAAATCGTAATCGAATGCACTCGATAAGATGATAATCTTCTTCACATTCAATTCTTTCATGTTGGAATAGATGTCTTCGAAGAATTTCTTCGCTAAATTGCAATCCAACGTAGACCTGAGCTGAATGCAGGCTATTTTTAATTCATCGTTAGCGTATAACTCGCATGCCGTGCATATTTCCGAGGAATTAACATCGTAGGGATCGCTTCCTACTGTGGACACAATCGCTGGATGCCAAACCGAAGCTATTTTTTGCAAATTGTACGTTTTTACTAACAAATCGACGGTCAATTGTGGGACATTTCCCACCGAAACGCACGGTATTATCAACGCGTAGCCGCTCAAATCGCTGGATTTTGAAAATCGAAACATAGGAGCCATATTTGCGATTTGCACATTAATACTACACTTATTTCGAATAGAATTATTCAAACTCCAAAATGAAAAATGACTAAACAAGTTTTTTTATTACAACAAAATTTGATTTGAGGTTATGTTTAAGTCAATGACAAATGACAAGTGACTTGTAACGATAAACTTTGTTTCTGGTGGAATATAATTTTGCGTTTTCTCAAAAAATTGCATATATTTTAGCTACTATTTTAAAGTAGTTTTTATAAGATAAGATAAAAACAAATAGTGATTATTGGTGACTAGTTTAGTAGTAAGTCGATGACAAACAATCAAAAAAATTGAACTATAGCTAACTTCACTCAAGTTAACTGTCAATGTCAATATTTATTATTATTTATCGATTAACGAATTGGGGTGTTTTTTTTATCAGAAAACCAGAGCAATCTCAATTAAAAACGTGACAAATGGCACAAATAGGCGAGCCTCTAACATTATCTCGAGGTAAGGCAACATCCACCTAAAAACCTCCAATTTTCCAACCCTAATTTTAGATATAAAAAGATCCATCGAACTTCTGGAAAAGCTCCAAAAAAGCGGCGAAGTCCCTGCCACGAAACTCGCCGCACTCCAGAAAGTCTTGCAAAGCGACTTTCTAAACGCCGTACGTGAAGTCTACGAACATGTCTACGAAACCGTTGATATACAAGGATCGCAGGACGTCAGAGCCTCCGCCACGGCCAAAGCCACAGTAGCTGCATTCGCAGCGAGCGAAGGCCACGCTCACCCTAGAGTCGTCGAGCTGCCCAAGACCGACGAAGGATTGGGATTCAACGTTATGGGCGGTAAGGAACAGAACTCCCCGATTTACATTTCGAGGATCATACCCGGAGGGGTAGCCGATAGACACGGAGGGCTGAAAAGGGGAGACCAGCTTTTAAGCGTGAATGGAGTGGTATGTTCTACAAATTAATTGTTCGTATTATTATTATTAATGTATTGTTTAGTCTGTAGATGGTGAGAATCATGAAAAGGCTGTGGAACTTCTGAAACAAGCCCACGGATCTGTGAAGTTAGTGGTAAGGTACACGCCTAAAGTGTTGGAGGAAATGGAATTGAGATTTGATAAACAGAGGGCTAGAAGAAGGCAACAATATAATTAAAATTAGTTGTATTTTGTATTTAATCGATAATGTTATTTAGTATATTTTAATTACTAACTAAGGATTATTAAGATGCACTCGACGGATTTGCTAATGTAGCAATCCGGCTGTTAATTCGACATTTAATTTTATTTAGATGAAACTGATTATTTTGGTTTCTATTTTATTTTTATAAAGAAATAAGAACAATGTTTTATATTAGTTAATCTTGCAAATGAATACATAATATGTGCAATTTTTTATTGAATAGACTATCAGTATTACACTGTAACATTTTTATAATACGTGCCGTTTATGAAATTATATTTATTGTTTTTAATGGAGTATATTGGATTCTGCATTTAATGTTATTTATTAACGATATAGGTATACTATTGGATCGGTAATAATTATATTAGTGAATAAATTTTATGAAAATTGACAATATGGTATTTTTATTATACAAATTAATGCAAATTTGTATAAAATATGGTTTTTGTTTGCCAGAAAAACAACTTCCATTAGCTTCATGTAAAGAAAAAAGAAAGAGTGATAATGTGTGGATTGCAACTTTCTCATTCTATATTTCTTTGTTCAATTCCTTGATATTTTGAAATGGGAATATTTTAATTGCAGTAATAATCTTCAGTAAAAGTACAATAACATTTTTTACATTATTGTACGATCTTTTGTCATTCAAAAGCAGGTATTCCTTGCAAAAATCCTACAAAATTGAGTCGTCCTTGGGGAAATAGTTCTTTTTTATATTCGAAAATAGAGATAGGTGATAAATAATTACTCAAATAACTGACAACCGTACAAATCTTATTCACGAGACACTTTGGAGCCACCAATAATAGACTAGAGAAAGATATTTCATCATTAAATCACATACCGATAACTCACTTTGTATATACCATATTTTTTTAATGTAGAAAACTCGTATCGATGACCGAGCTTCAACAAATACCTTCCTTTTAATCCGAACAGAACCAAAATTCGATCCCTTTTGAGAACAAAAAACAAAGATTATGAAAAAGATAGACTTTTTTTCAACTGCTCCAGTTAACGAAATCGACACCACAGCACTGGCCTTCACCATCGGCACAAACAAAGATTGGAAATCACCCTTCTTCTTCACCAAAGGCGTACTTTACTTACCCAAAATTAATATTTATTTCGTATATATTCCCTAAAAAAAACTAACCAGTTTTCATCGTTTTATTTTGTTCATATAGAGGATAGAAAATTAAAGAGAAGATAACAAGACACGAGAAACTATTCCAAAAAAAATTTACGTATGCAAAAATGACCTTATAACACATCACAACCCAATTAAAATCTCCAACAATGTATTCGCCTGCTGTCTCCACCTTTGGATTCAGGATTTTGACAAAGGACGAAAGGAGCAGGACGACAGGTGAAACCGAAGCTTTTTTCGGGGTCCCCGGCATGTTACCGAACTCTCTCAGGTAATTCCATACTTCGCTATCTGCGTTAGAAATCAGGCGGGGACGTTAAAATGTCAATAAGTTGACTACTCAAATCGTGATAGCTCGATAACACAGGCAGACCTTTTTTCTCTCTACCAAAGGATAGGGTTAAATGGTAAACTTCGAAATCGTTTACTTGGAAATAGAGATGTTAGATGGTTATTTGAAGTCTGCGGTTTATTAATTATGCAAATTTAATGTGTAAAATAATGTCTTCGGAAAGGTGATTCTATGTATAGAAAAATTGGGAGATTCAATGGAAGAAAAAATTAATCTAAAGAATCTCCAATAAGTAATCTCTTGTACATTCTTCGTGTTGTACATTGGAATCGAATAAAACCAATCAAAGCGCCATTTGGGTCCATTTTCGAAAAATTCCTCAACTCCTTCATCGCTCGAAATAATCATCGAGTATACCTTGCGTATTGTCGGCGAATTGAAAGGAACATACCGAAAGAAAGTTTCCATTATGTTCCATAACAAGTAACATGTCTAGAAAATCTGACGCTATTCAGTCGGCGGCTTTGTTGCACTGACCTCGTCAGGTTTGTTATTATTATTATCCCCCCGGATTGAAACAACCACAATGGCTACTGTTTGCCGAAATACTAGCGTTTATTTCGATGCTACATATAGGTATACTAGACAGAGGATTTAGGAAATATCTATATAAATTGGGAAATTTTATACTATATTGTTTTATAATTAATTTTATATAGGGTGGTAATGAAATAATTGGGTAAAAGAGTCTATTCTTGCAAAAGTTTCCAAAATCTGCAAAGGAGGAATTTGCAAAACTCTCTTACTCCAATCACTCTTATTTTGATAATCGTTCTTTGTACAACTCATAGAATTTACCACATGTGCACTTACCCCTACAGTAGATTACTATATTATTGGATTTATAAGAAAATAATAACAGGGATTAATTTATCAATAAAATGTGTATGGTCGGTTTTAATAAATTTTTGGATAATCTGTAATATTTTACGGGAAATTAATCTCGACGATGGCACACGCGAATATTAATTTGGAACGATACACGCTCGAATTTCCCTTGCTCCTTATCTAGTATGAGCCACATGTAGGTATTTTAGAGATTGGCCAATAATTCGATTTTTAAACGGATTACGGTATTTAACCAATCCCGATTTTCGTATGGTAATTTACGAAGAAAATGAATTTTAAGATGGGCTAAAATTTCGATGGCGAAATTGCTTTACTACATGGAAAAATTATGCATCGAAATTAAAATTTCGTAAAGCGATAATCCAATTTTCTGTCCACTTTTATAGTTTACGAGTCGGGCGAAATTCGGACGCGATTTATTTTTAATTCATTTGCCTCCATAATAAGTAATTAATTTTTGCCATTTCGCATTTAAAACGTTCGACAATAAACGAGGAAAATAACAATATACGATGTTAAAATGTCGGCGAATTCATAATTTCGCGTTGTCAAATAATTCCCCGCATTTCGTGCTCATTATTTCGTCCCCGAAACACGATGAATAATTAAAAGGCATAAAACGGGGTTAAAACTGCAAAACTCCCGTACATTATTTAATGTAATTTCAAAAGCAAATACACTCGTATTTAACTTTAATTATAAAAACTTCCCGCGAAATGAATTTGCTACAAATGGAATTTCGGACCAAATAAAAAACTAATTTTGTACAGGGTGACCCAATTTAGGAGTCAAAGACAACATCCATTAGTCTCATGTAAAGGAAAAGGACAGAGTGATATTGTAGGATTCATACTTTCTCACTTTAACTACTCTCACCACCTCCTTTGTTCAACTCGTAGAATTGACCAAATTGGAAACAAATTTGCACTTATCTGTATACAATAAAATTGTGAGTTAATTGTGGACCACCCTGTACTCAACTCGCGGGGTGAGTTTTCTAATTTAATCAACCTAAGTACATTCGTAAATAAGTATTCTAATAAAATTACAAAAAAAAATCCCTGTTAACAAAAATAATACCCAACGTTTCGCATTATTGAGGCGATCGATCACGCCTAATTTAACGCACAAAGACGGGAATTCGACTAATTTAATGTACATAATTAGCAATCAAAACGATTTCGAAACATCCAATCGAGCCCGAGTGGCGTTCGACGTGGAATAGCCCGCGTGGAGTGGACGAGAAAAAGGAGGAGTGAAATGGAGGACCACCAAAGGACAAAGCCGCTATGTCCGTTGTTCCTCGAGAACGATATCTCGATAAAAACATGTCATCCATCATAGTTTCGAACAGGGACACTTCTTTACCGGCCCGACAGCCGCCTCATAGCCGGTGCGTGTCCGAGATAATGAGGAATATATCATATCGGATAGTCGCATCTTAATATTTCCCATTCGATGTCTAGCGAATTTTTCCACATGTAATAATATTCTTTTTCTAAACACTCGAATCATAATTAAATTCTCCAGTATATCTACTTGTTAATTTCAATGTTAAGTGGTATCGAATTTCCGGGAAAATCGCCACTCCACTAAGCCCCTCTGTCAGTCCGTGGCAGTAAATTATCCGAAAACAAAAATTCCTAACAGGAAAATCGCTAAGTCGGATGATAATAATCCTTCTTAAATACTTTGCAAAACAAGCGAGGTATTGAAAAAGCTAAGCACCGGCCGCGGTAATGCGGCGATTATCATTATTCGTGGCGTTTGAGAATCAATAGGACGAAAGCATTTCCTTTTTGACACTGGCCAAAGCCACTTCTTGTTCTCCGGGGCCTTTTGTGGGAATTTTACCAATGTAATTATAATGAGAAGACCACCTCTCGGCGATTCTTTCTTTAACTGATAGGTGAGATTACGCGCCCGTTTGACGAACAGGGGCGGAACGGAAGTCGGTTCCACGAACCTGAAAATTCTCTTTCAACCCTTTTTACTTCACCAAAAGAATTCAATTTCTTTTGTATTAACCGTTTGCAATACTGATGCTATTGGAATCTGTGGATTATTATGTGCAAAAAATGCATGCAATTACGCATCAAATTTCCAGAAAATACAGAGTAATCTGGTCAAATAATATAGAGTTATTATTGCACAATAAACTTAATAATTCATATAAGAAACTAACAAATAAAATTAGGAAAAAGGTTTTAAAGGTAGAGGAAAGAAGTAATAACAACGGATCAATTGTATATATTTTTTGAGAACAAATTGAATTCAAATTGAAAATTTACCTACTTAAACATTATGGATTAATTCCGGACTAATTCTGGACTAAACAATTCATTCTAAATGCCAAATACTTTTGGCAGGGAATACTTTTCTTATATATCTAAATAATTAATTACAACTGAATTAATTCTAGTGCCATGGGACTAAAAACTGATTGAATAATTGAAAACATCCAATCATTTTTTTATACAATCTTTAAAAATCCTATTTCTAAATTAACAACTATCAAATTTTACCACAAACTTACCCGCACTTAACCGATCTTGGCAATTTTTTTGTATAAACTCTTACAATATCAGCATAAAAAACCAATTAGAAAAAATCAAAAAAACAGGCGATCAGTTCGTACGCCAATGTAATTAGATATAATTAAATCGAGACCACCTCCCGGCAATTTTTATTTTTGTTATCCTATTCGAGTGATAGGCGAGATTTCGAGCGAACGGAGAAGAAGCGAAGCAGCGAACTTCCACGACTACCTGTTTCACCCCCCGTGGAGCTCATCAGACCGGCCAGCATGGAAAAAGAGTTAAAGCGTCAATCCGGGCGATGTTGAGGTAAAAATGCAGAACGGCTACTGGTCTACGAATCATTTTCACCATTTAACTCGGCTATTAGGCATTAATATTCATGAGAGCAGGAACACGAAATCGTGTATATGGGTTTTTTATGGGTTCAATGTCGGGAGGTTTTTTACGTTTCTAGGAGATGTACACCTAATTAAATTTAACCGTTGGTTTTATTAATATACTTG